ATCAGTATAACCGGGAAGGGAAACTGCAGTCTGTAACTGGAGTGTGATAGCTAAAAGCCAACTGAATAGGTGAAGAATCTTCATGTTGGCAATTTGAAGACTCTGGAAAGAGTGAAAGTTAAACAGTCTCTAGCATCAATTGGATTTCCAATAGATGTAGGGCTGGGTATTTTTGTTAAGACAAATCAGAAAGTAAAGGAATGTAAAGAATTGGGAAGTAAAGGAAGGTAAAGAGAGAACTGGGAGGAAAGTTGGAGGAAAAGGTGGGAGAGAAGGTTGAAGATTTTGTAGCTGGGAAGGAAAAGTATATAAATTTCTTCAAGATACACTAGTTCTCATGGCCCTCAACAATTCTTACAAGCTAGACCCGATATGATTGCTACTTAGGTTGCGAAACTAGAGAACAATGAGCTCAATCCAAGGTTGATCTTCGGGAAAGGAAGTAGATCGAGGTCTAATATCAGAATAGATGGCTGCCCTGGAAACCGATGAAAGAAAGAAGAGAATGGTACGAGTGTCTCGGGTTTTGGTATTAACATTCACTAGGTTCCGAACTTATGAAATCCACTAGTCCTTAGTATGGAAAATATTTGTCTGTCTATCCAGGTAGGTATACTGATTTCCCCATGAAATAAAGGAATTTAGATAAGTTGAATATAAGGAATGCTAGTACCTAGTCCTCAATAATTTAGTTTCTGTCTAGTTCCTTTTAATAAAATTCAAATGGTTTGTCTAATTGCTTATTGAAAGACCCTTTTTTGACTGATGAGGCTAAATCAGGAATATTCGACTTTCAAATTGTTTATATATCAGATAGATAGTTTACCACCAGTAAACTATAGAGTTATTAGATCTACTATGATGTGCTTTTTTGCTCTAATAATTTGGTCATGAGCCTTGCCTATGTTGATAACCGGCGATATCATCTACCAGCAAAATCAGAATTGAAACAGAAACTTTCAATGTTAGGATTGAAAAAAAGAACCTTTGATCTGAATATTAGGAACTGTAGATTTGATCGTAGTTTTTCATAAATACTGTGTGCCGTGAATACCCTTCTAGCGTAAAGTTGACAGATGAAGAAATGAGGATCTAAATGATATCATTGGACTCACAAAATCTCATTTCCCAACAAGCACCATCAAGGTCCCTCAACTTTCTTGAAGGGAAGGCGCAGTCACATATTCACTTCTGAAAATATTTTCAACAGACAAATTGTAAAATGAGGTTTCTCGGGTACCCGGATCTTGCCGTATGTTATCTCAACAAAGGTTGATATCAAAGTTTCACACTTTCTCCAAGCAAGGCTTGACGTTCTCCAAGAGAAAAGCCCTTCCTTCCTCTCCTTCTCTTCTTCCTTGATTTAAAAAAAAACACACACAGACAAAAAACATTGTACAAAAAACCTCAATTACCATTGACAAAAGCCAACATGACTTCTTTGTTTGGTATTGTCATTTCTAAGAGCTTAATGCTCTTATTTGTTTACACCATCCTAATTGCTCCACTTGTCAGTTTCACAAGCGCGGAAGTCAGCCACAATGCAGCAGCTCTCCCAATTGATCAACTTGCTTCTCAAATTGCTCAGACTAAGGTTGATAATTTCACACAAGCAATGACTTCACTCGTCCATCACCACCACAGCCGCCGCCACAACAATGACCATCACAACCATGCCTTCAACATCAGCGCACGTGCAGATCCAGCCCTCTATGCTGCACGAATTCTGAAGGGTAGACAATTGTATTGCACCATGCAGGACAGTCTTGCTCTGACAACCCAGAAGAATGGTGGTGTATCTCAAGAGGCATTGATCTACGATCCGTCAAACCTATACACTGAAGGATTTAGAACTTATGTCATGAAAGAAGATGATGAGGAAGGACCTGTCTTTGGAGAAGCTTTGGATGAAACACTAAATTTCCTTGGATCAGATGTTTGGGAACATGATGAGCCTATGCCAGTCTTGGTTCGTGAAGCACACACTGCAAAAGGATTCTCTCAGATCGACACACTTGATCATCAGTTATGGCATGATAGTTCTCGTCTTGTAGAAGTAAGTACCATCAATGACCACATATTTCTAATGGAAACTAATATGTGAATTTCAGCCAACAGGAGCAGAATGGGAAACTTTGATCAACTGTGATCCTGGAATTCTTGTAGCAGACAGAAACGTCAGTCCAGCCTCACTGGAATTTAACAAGAATGCCGACGATGTCCCACGTATATGGAGTTGGTCTGATGCAGTTTTCCTATACTATAAGAGAGTCTGTGGTTTGTTATCCCATGAAACCCTTACTTGATGAACAATCACTGAATTTCTTTATTGCAGGTGCGTCTGCAGTCAAAAACCTAGAATGGATAATCCGTGCAGGAATCGTCAACATAGACACCAACACAATGGTCAAGATGGCTTTGAGAGCAAGCGGACATAATACTATACCACTTTGGGGAGATAGGATAACTATACACCCAACTGATGATCCCTTCTTTGCTATTCTTGGAAGCAAGAATGGTGCTGGTGTCGGCTTTCTACTCAACCAACACAAGGATGTAGTCACTGGTCTGGGTGTCAAGAAGGTGAACAGTATAACCATTTGGACTTACGGAGAAGAGGCCCTTGACATCAGCAGTACAAGAACAGACGACTTTCCTGATTTTACTCTTTGTTTACTCTTTGAGATTGTTCCTGTTGCTTCACCAAATCAAATTCCTCCACCAACCGTCTGAGAGGAACAAACAAGAAAGCATCTAGAGCATTGAAGTCTTCATATCCTGAAGGGAATAATGCTCAGAAAAGGTTGCTAGTTAGACCGCAAGGATAAAGTTCATCAAGAACAGCTATCAGAACGAAACGCTCTGAATAGAATTAATTTAATGAAACAAGAACATGAAAACCCCTTCTCGAGATTTCTCCACTAGTGATTTGTAATTGTGCGTAGATTCGAAAAGCTGCCAGCTTTACTTATGATCATAATGAGAGTGATGTTGAAATAAACATTTTGATGCTCCGGCATCCCTGATCATGGGCTGATTAGTCATCAGATCCATACTAGAAACGGCGGATGCAGGTGAGACACTTTCCAAAGTCAAAATCGCATAATGCATCCAAAAATCATTTGATTTTGATGTTGATAAAAACATACAATCTGATTACTTGTCGCAAAATGAATCTTTCAGTGGAGTTTCAAGGCCCTCGAGATAATAGTTCAAAAGCCTTCGCCAAGTTGAAGTTTCTCATCAGCTCATGAATCCGCTAGTATTTCATGAAAACTGGTTCATGAAACTCCAACATTTTGCATCCATGATGTTCGGTTTCGAGCTACTTCCAACCCTTCTAGTAAGATGGTTATCGCACGACGACAAAAGGCTTGGGAATGCGATAATTTCCCAGGCATTATTTTAAGCTTATGTATGATCATGATCATGAACCGACAGCAAGCAAGGAAATGACATGGAACCCTTCATTCAACACATTGTAGAAGAGAAGTCTCTTCCTCATCATGAATGTTTGTTCACTCGAGGCTTCATGGTACAGTTCCGATGAATATTGGTCAGAAAATGAGAAAGAGGCCAGATACCAGGAAAGGGACGACTAGTCCAAAAACTGCTGTGAGGACATGCTTGTGTGTATCTATCTCCAGAATTTCCTTGAATTTCTGCAGACTTTCCAACGTCCTATGAAACGGTTACCATATCCAAGCGGCGTTGTGTGAAAAGATTCTTGGCAATGCAGCAATTCAAAATCAGCAGTAACTGAGCCATAAAAAGACGGCTGTGTGGTTAAAATTCCAACAAATCTAGCCGTACCAACTTCCATGCAGAGCGCCCAACTTTCCGAAGAATATGGAAATCCCTTCTCGTACTGATAGATTATACAAGAGAAACGATGGTTTCTTAAGGAGTTCGGATATCGTACGAGAAAATAGCCCAATAGACATGCTCCGACCAACCACCGGGAACATTATCGTCAGTAAATGTCTTTCTTCCCCGGAAGAGTAAAACAGACCGACTGACAAAAAAGAACGGTAACGGCGAGACTTTTACCTGATCCAGAGAGCGATTACCACTTACCGAAGCAATTACCCAAAACTACGCCCCCGCACCTACGGAGATTCAATTTCCGGAACACAATAACCAACATCTACTAACCTGACCAACCAACCAACCAACAAACCAACAAACAAACAAACAATACCCAATATTCCCTTACCCAATTCACCATCCTCTACTCACCACACTCCGCTCTTTCACCAACCACAAACACAATACTGATATCCATACCTATCATCTATTCGTCATCGGCCTGTCACCGTCGTCACGTTCCAAACACACCACAGCATGCGTAGCACAGCATCAGCTGAAACATCCACAACCGCTATATCCGCAGTATACCGTATGATTACCCGTCGAAGACCATTTCTGTGTAATCTGTACACGACATAAAACACATGATGAGTTTGTGTAATCTTTAGTATTAAGCCGAGACCCTGAGCTGCAGGTTTGGAGCCTCGTGGAGATATGTATACAGCAAAACCTCTCTATAAGGATCCCCCCTATAAGGATAACCTCTCTATAAGGATATATTTTTCAGTCCCAAGAATTTTCAGGGCTAAAAAAGACCTATATCCTTAAAACCCCTCTATTAGGATATCCTTATATTTTCCGGTCCCAGAATCACGTATATCCTTATTAGACCAATAAAATCATTAGGATCTGAGCTATTATCTGAGCTATTATATGGAGAATCTAGTTACATTTTGTGAAAATAGAAAATTTTCCGAAATTGTCACGGAATATGACCCGATCGGGACTAATCGGGGCTAATCGGAAGCTAATTACTACCAGGTCGGGATTAGTCGGATACCTCTATATAAGGATACCTCTATATATCTTTAAAAAAGACTACAAAAACCGGTATCCTTATAGAGAGGTTTTGCTGTAACTAAGCTTAACAGCCAGGAGAAGTTTGGGAGCTTGAAATGAACAGACTGACTAATAATCCCGGTGGAATGATTGAAGGGATCATGGAGAACGAGGACCAAAAACAAATATACCATTCATTGGATTTCTGTACCGCTTGTGAAAAATTCATGAATTACTATAATCAAGCCTCCTTCCATTCTGTATACATCTAATTAAGTAGGTACATTAATTTCCAAAGAGTGTGGTATCAAATCAAATCAAATCAGACAAAATCATGAATAACCCTCAGCTGTCTCGCCCCGAGCACGAGCACGAGCACGAGCACGAGCGCACCAAGCTTTTCATCCCTCCCACTCCTAATCCTGCGAAGTGAATTGACAATACCTTTCCTCCATTAAACTCCATCCTTATTATCCGTCAAAGGTCATCATCGGTAGCCTTTACCCACTTCGTTTCTCATCATTCCTGCATACCCACTCTCGCTATCTGTGTACGAAAACGGCCTTTCTCTTTCCGGGGAAGGCGCGCCCGCCGTCATACTCGCGCTTCTGCTTGGAGCTGGGAGCTCGATCGGGCCCTGGCCTTGGTTTTGCCTTTCTTTCTCTTGTAATCTGCAGTGGATTGTTCAGCATACGCGCTTTTCACAATATTTCCAGACATGGATTGAAGGAAAAATAACAGTGGAATAAAACATACCTCAAAGCGTCTTGTGCACTCCTATCATCCATCTCACTCAATGTCTGTCCTCCATACCCCTGAGAACTTAAATGTGACTCGTGATTATGCGCCGGGCTAGGGAATCCAGGACTTCCCATCGGACTTCCAACCGATACACTCTGATACTGGCCATTTCTAACCGTCTGCATACCCACTTCATCAATCGGCGGACTTCGGCTTCTAAAACTATTCGTATCGGGATCCGTGTAAGCACCATGATGAGGTGAAAAGCGTCCAGATGCGGTATCTAAGCCTGAAAGACCAGATGCGAACTTGGACATGTTTGGATAATTGGCTTCGGAAACTGTACGGCCGCCTTGCGACATATATGAGTTATGAGAATCATCATAAGGGTTGCTGCTAGCTGGAGGCCCAGACGATGGCCCATTGTGAAATACTTCTTTCATGGTTCGGTGGCGACCGCACATGTAGAATAGAGCGCCTGCTAGAGCTATTACAGCGACTGCACCAACGACGATACCGGCAATGGCGCCAGCCGGTAATGATTTATGAGAGGAGCCAGAAGCGACGGCTTTTGCAGTTTCTAAGGGAAAATATTCATTGGGAGAGAACTCCATCGTTGCATTTTCAGCATACGCAAACTGAACATCGAAGGTTTGCGTAGCATTGGCATTTATAACCCCAACCATACCCTCTTGACAAGCACCAGGAGCGGAACAATAGAAGAATATAGGTTCCGTGTCGTTAATGCGTAAGTTAAATATAGGCGGCTAGTTAAGACTCGTTAGCATCATTTGATCAATCTACAGGAGATGGCGAGTGTCTAACATTATTCGAGACAATAGCAGTAGGTTCGAAACCACTCCAGAATCCAATCTTTCCTGCCCCAGTGTCTTCGTATGGTATACATGGTTCTGTAAGGTTGAAATTAACTATTGTCTATCAACAAAAGATTTGGGGTAAAATACGTTTGTATTCTGCTCTCGCCACAGAATGATTTAATGGATAAAAGCGAAATTCTACAGAGGCCCGTTAGTCCAACATAAATGCGATGTTCATCATAATGACTTACCAATAATATCTCCAACATCCGCCGTTAATTCTCTAGGATCGTAATTGAGGCCATCCTGATATTCATTAACATTCAATCGTAGCACAATTGCAATCGCAAGATCAACTTACTGCACCAACTGATACAACATGCGTCGTGACAGCCGTCTTCGAAGCGCTTATCGATGAACTTGTGGTTGATGCCGATGAAACAAAGCTTGTTTTTGACGCTGAAGCCGTGGAAGAGCTATCCGCAATTGAACCCTCCGTACTAGAACTTTCAGCCCGGACCGAAGCAAGGATTGATAGCCCTAAGAGAGCGAAAAGCCTCGACAGCATCATTTTGAACGTCAAGTCGTCAATTAATTAATACGATTTGTAAAGAACGAACCTTATCATGCTGCAAGAAAAACAAAACAAAGAATAAAGAATGTGAAAAAGGTGTACCAGTACAGAAATCAGGCGGAAATCTTACTTACATGCGGGGTGGTTGTCCATATCAAGAACCGACCAGTGAAGCCAGCCCCCCCCATGAACAGATAACTTGGGACAGTATTGTAAGAGCAGTAATAGTGTGCGGCTGAGTCAGAGAACAGCCTGGCAAATCTTGCAAATCTTTCCAAATTTTCACGTAGTATCGACTGAGTGAACTTGGCATGGAGTACAGCGGTGTATTACCCGGTAGGTAGCTATGGGGGACTTGGGCCATCATAATTCACGTTTATCTTGAGCCATCCATACACACCAAGTGCTTCAAAAAGTGCGGAAGTTCTGAGGCGTTTTTGTCGGCTGCATTCACCCATCACGTAAATAATCCCCATGAAAAAAAGAGGACCCGATGTTAGCAATGTAGCATGTATGTAATTTATCCACAAGGAAGTTCATATCTTTAGAAATACCATTCCTAACTAGGGAAAATCAGAAAAAATCGATATCGGACGCAGCCTCCACTTGTAGGATTCTGCAGGGAAAGAATGGGGGCTGGAATCATTGATTGACGGAATCCAGGCTTATGGCCGATGCTTGTCGGTAACCGTGCCAATGGTAACCGAACTTCCACAAGCCTTACGCATTGACCGAATGGACCCCTGAGGGGCCCCTTGCCTGCTTACATCTCTCGTATTGCCTAATTTCTTGATTGAGATTCGCGTGGAAACGTGGTGGAAATGGTGTGACTGCGTAATCTTTGACCAATAAAGTACATAATATGTTCATAAAATTGACAAGAATCTAATCTTGTATATGGGTATATGGCACACCTTTAAAACCGATCACTGAACCTTCTTCGCTTTCGCCTTTGTCTTTTCCATCTTAGAGGACTGTAGAAGACCACTTTCAACAGCCAAGGACCATAGGCACCATAGGTAACATATACCAAACCCAGAAACTCCAACGGCGACATTCATGACTACCCAAAAATCAGGGAAAGGAGCAGGTGGCGTCCAGAAAATTTCTCCCAAATGCCAAGCGACCATTGCTTGATAAAAGAGCGTGTGTATCAATGTTGTTCCGAATCCTATCCAATTGCCATCATTATGCTGCGCATACACCTCAAAAGAAAAGGGTGGAAGCCCAAGAAGGTATAGCCACAGGAGAACCAGAACAAAGTAAGGAACACGCAACTCTACTCTTTGCAACAATGGAAACATTGTAAAAGCACCCAGAACATTGGCAAATGCTATCCATGATCGAGTTCCTTTGCTAAGTCCTCCTCGACCAGCCAGCATCACAGTCATTGGCATTAGAGGTAACAAGACGCTTTTCTCATGTACCTGGAAACTGAATAGGAAGAATCCCCACGCTGATGTTGCCAAGGCCAAGGGTAATAGATCCTTTCGTGGTTTGAAGAATATAATCAAGCATGGAGGAGTGATGGATGCTAAAGTGATAAGTAGTGAAGCTTTCTGAAGAAGACCCTGATCGAAGTTTCGGAGCTTGATAGCGACATTTAACGCGCACCAGAAATTGGCCACTTTATCTTCAAAAAGGCCCCGCGCAAAAGGGAACACTCGGTATATGACCTGTGCACTTTGCTGTATGATAGGATAATACCAAGCGCGATAATCAAGTTTGTATGAAAGATGGCTAAGAATGGGCAATGGCGCTGCGAAACCATCAAGCTCTGGTCGGGCACTGATACCTTGACTTTTCTCGTAGAGAGCACCCAAGAACAGGGGCAGAAATAGGACCGCAAATGATACCAAAGTAACAATCGCGATTCCTAAGAACCTAGGAATATTGATAGGAAATATGCAGACTCCTAGTAGGTATGCAAACATCGCAGGAGCATAATATAAAGCCATCTGCTTGAATCCCAACGCCATGACAAAAAATACACAGCTCCACATGTATCTGCCAGCTAGTACACTAGACATGCTAGCAAGAACCAATCCAAGCATTACTGTATTGTATTGAAAATGTGCATGGTCGATGAGAATCGATCCGGGTTGCATAAGTATCGCTGTCAGAGCAATTGATGCTGTCCATATATTTACAGCTTGAAGCTTACTTAATCGTCGAACAAAGATGACCGCTGCGGGTACAAACACTAAGTATTCGGAAATGATAACTGTAGCCCTCATGAAAACCTTCATTGTTGGATCATCGAGTCCCCGCGACGTGTATAAGGCGAACCACGATGGGTTTATAAGTCCTCCGATCTTTCCAAGAACCCAACTATGATATGCGGTTAAGGGCGGATAGTCCAATCCCCACCATTCGAGATCATGGAAGTACCATTGTGAAATCGGAAGTTGCGTTGTAATCTCCATCCAGTGCCTCTGAGCTTCGTAGTCGCCATGCATCGGTGGGCTTTGAAATCCTGCCGTGGAGAGTCAGTAACAGAGCTCAGGGTAGTTGGCAGATTTTACAAACGTACCAGAATATCCCCAAAGTCCAGCAGCCCACCTAAACAGACCTACGGCCATCAATATTAGAGGAAGTACCACCCATTGCGACGTTGAACTACGCGCAGACCAAAGTAGAGAGGCCAATGGATACGTGGGTTGATTTCCACTCATACGCCTGGCTGTTGGCGTGGTAGGAGTAACTATCGAATCACTTTCAGACATAACTTTTTTGGATCGTTGACCTCGCGATCGAGTTTTGTACGGTGAGGGAGAAGGTCCAGCCATTGTCACCGAAAGATTGAAGCCGAATAATGGACTATTATCATTGCTTGAAGTAAATTACAAGATTGGGTCTGGAATATGTTGGGTCGGTCATGTATTAAATTTGTGGGGTGGTGTGCGAAGAACACCACGATATTTATTTTATCCTTGCGCTTAGCCATGATGACACGCTTCAACTTTTGCATCTGTGTACCAACAACATCTACGCCAACTCCCAATTGAATGTTTTATTTAAGCGCTTCACATCCTCATGTTTTCCACATCCTTCTTCAGAGTCAGAAAATCCGTTATAGAAATTACCTGAGTAGTTGTAGCTAATCGCTCAAGAAACTCTATATGAACCAATGTACGTAGGTGAGTAGGAAACCTTCAAGTCGAGGTGGTCCAACTTAGAAACCGTTCACTTCCAAATTTCTCGAGCATAACCATGTTGCGATGGTGAACCTGCTCACAGCTTTCGAGTGAAAGAAACAGCTTAAAAACAACGCAGCCGATATCACTAAAATCACTATGCAGTTTATAGCTCTTGAATTAGATACAGCGGATATACTAGGAATTTTCTTCTCATCAGCTTTCAATCCCCAAAGTCTAGCATTAAATTATAGTTGCCGCCCATCTGGGTGTACATAACTGCATACGCAGTTGGAGCGATACGATAAGCGTTATCTAGGAGGATTACGATTCCTTTAATATCTGACATGTAGATCCTGCACAGTATCAGGATAGCGCAGCTCTTTGGGGGATTGCCTTCAAATGAGTTATCCAAGTCGGCGCTTGGAGCCTGACATTAGCAAACGATGTTCATCGAGTAGTTATCGATGACACTGCTATGGCACTTTCCGATTTGCTGGCGTGGACTTCAATGTCTGATAATACTCATTGGCAAAACAGTAGTTAATTACAAGGAAAGATATCACGTATAACACTACGGTATACACAAGTCGGGTCCAGCGATTCACATTCCATTCGAGCGCTGAAGCTCCCAAAATCCCATGAGACCGGCATGCTATGGGCGACCAAACCAGCAATCTTCTGCGTTTAAACCCCGCCTTAAAAATGGCGGCTTCAATATCCCGAACTTAGTTCCTATAAAAATTCTAGACATGATTTGTAGCGCCCTATACTCCCACTCAGAAGCCTTATAACATCCCTCCGAAAACGTGATAGTTTGCGTGCAATTTCGACAACGATTCGAGCATTTGAAGCTCAAAAACACGCTCGTGTTTTCCTTTCTTTTTTCGAAACGCACAATGTCATCCAGTAAGCTGCATCATCTAACATTCAATCCAAGAATATGATGGTTCTTTGTCCTCTGTATTGCCAGATATCCCGGAGACTTTTGCGATTCTGAGATTTTATAGTCAGCGGCCACTCTTCAACATTTCCGGTCAGCCTTACCATTGAAGCGCTTTTCTGTCTCTAATTCCGTTTTTATAAATTTGGCGCTCTTGGGTTCAACAGTGAGAAGTAATGGTTCCTTGGCTACATGCTTTGTGTATACTTGACGGCAGCATGCTCCGACGAAAGCTAATATCAAGACCAATAAACCCATGCCAAGGTTCACAAGGACCGTTGGCTCAAGATTGGCCTTGAGTGCTATTAACATTGTGGCTAGACACATATTGATGGTTGACAGTTGAATAATGTGGTAGATACGTATAATTCAGAGAGTACAATTGGTATCTGATGGTTAAAGAAACGATATGTGATGCAAGAATTTCCGCAAGAATATAATGGGCAAAGGAGTCTCAAGAACACGGTTAAGCGTAGGAATTTAAACATCGGAACTGTTGGTTAGTCGTTCGACACTTCCCCATTGTTCAAGACATATATTTCAGAAGCGCTTCCCAAGAATCTCTAGGATACTGCCGCCGATAGCCTGAATCCTTCCCAAATCCTAAAGCTTGGGCCAGCTAGACAATGTGGATGCTATTCGCGGGAAGGTACACGATACTCGACATCTCTATAAAAAAATGCTTCGAATGCTGTTGATTAACGTTTCAGATAGGAAATCGTGCGAAGTGGATGTGTGATGAGCAACTCAAGGACAGTAGATCTTAATTTAACATCAAAGTCACGTGCCGACCTGTCATCTCGTATGTTCATCATACATCTCCTTCCACAAACCTGAGCTGGACAAACAAAACTTCGAAAGATTTTCAGTCTCATCTAAAGATACGACAGGAAAAATTCATGATACGGAGTGGGTGTAGCGGCTGGCCATGTGCAGTTCTGTCGCTTTTGCATGTTTGCTTTTCGATAAGCCATGTCCTCTGCACCTCAGCGCAATGTAGCTACACCAAATTTCCTGATGTCATTGAGCATTATTTGAGGATTCCCTTGATTTCTTAAGTCTACTTAGTTTGAGGACTATTTGAGCGGCAACCTACATAATCTATAATCTCCACTTAGTTTGAGGACTATTTGAGCGGCAACCTACATAATCTATAATCTCCATTTCCACTGCTAGCGGAACGACATACTTTTATTCCACCACCCAACCAATTTCACGATTATCCTTTCTAAAGTTAAAGCTAATTGACTACATGCATCTGAGACCAATGTCTTTCAACGACATTTGGCAATTCTCTGAAATGAAATGCTCGAGTCTCTCAGAGGGCTTTGATCATAGCCACATGAAGTCGTGAAGTCATGAATAAATGATTTATATGTTCATTTATAATGAACATAAATTCCGATTTTTATTTTCAAGTTTCTGAGAACTTTTTATGACTAAAAAGCGTCTTGTCCCTAATTGATTTTTGATGATTTCAAACACCATAGCATTTCCTCTCTTATTTTGTCATAATCATCATCAAAGTCTCGTTATCACATTTGCACAGCACGGGTAAAGTTATATTTAAAGTTTAAAAAAATGTACTATTTTTTGGTTTGAGTTTTTGGGTCGAATCGATCTAATAAAATGTCAAATTAGCCAAGTGGAATCGTAGGAATAGGTTATGGAAATGAATGGAAAAAGATTTCTACTCCTCCCTCTTCTTTAAAACTTCTTCTTGATTGATCCCCAGAGCGACTTGCCGATTTTCTTGGCCTTCTCCCTTTTGCTGTCTCTTCTTGAGGGGGTGGGGGGATGATCGAATGTGGCGAGAGCCTCTCTTTGTCTTGTCTGTCTGGTCAAAGTTCCCATGTCCATGTTGTCGGCAATTTCCAAGTCGGATCCATCGAGTGGAACGTATGAAGCTTCGTCTGGTTGGCTTGCGGAGCTGGTCTGGTCGTCTGAGGAGTTGTCTTGGATTCCGTTTGCGATGCACCGGGGGCAACGTTTTTTCGACCGAATCAACAAGAATCCGAGCTTGTCGACTCCGAGAACGATGCACTCCTTGTCATCTGATGAGGAAACTTTGTGGTGTCCGCAACGAAACTCTGTGAGGGCGCCTCGTCTGTCTTCGAGATCTTCTGGTGCAGCAAGCAAAGGACTTATTGGACGAGAAAGGATGACTGGATCCGTGGGAGGCACCTTGTTTCTGCAATCAGGACACTCCTTGTCGAGTTTGGTCCAGGTCGTATCGGGTCCGGTGATGCATCTCCAGTCTTCCTCGTCCCCAGCTTGGTGCAAAGTTAGGTTGGCGAAGTACTGATGTTCGCAAGAGAAACTTGTTACGGCGCCGACTAAAAAAAGCATGATTAGGTTTGGTTTTGGGTTTGGTGTTGAGCTTGAGAATGAAGATTATTCTCGGGTCAAAAAGTCTTGGTAGAAAAGATTGGTTTTGGTTATCTAAGCTCTAGGACTGATTGGATGGAGAATAAACAATTCATTTCAAGAGAATTATGGAAACTTATATAAGTTATCGAAAGCAGTTGTTCCGAACTTGTTCAGGCATTTTAATTGTGGTTTACATTGTTTGTGTCCAGTTCAGTTCACGATCTCGCCTCGAATCCGCAGAACATAGCAGTGTATTGGTATTGAACAATGATAGGAATTCTTCGAGGTGCAACACAAACTAATAGGAGGTGCAGCGTACCCAAGTCTGTTTTTCCATAACGTCGTCATGTTATAAGTTCGCCAGTGAGGTGAGGGAGGGATTCATATTGATCACGTGACACTTAATCCCACATAAAGGTTTCCATCGTTGGCTTCAGTCATCACTTTATTTATCATTTCGTGTCAATTTTCGTCCAACATCCATCCTAGCTTTCATTGTGGTTAAGATTTTGGTGAGATTTTTATTTTGCTTCCTAACGCTAGATTGAGCACATGCTTGACTATAAGGATGTCTTCAATACCTACTCATTTTTTTTTTTTGAAATGCTCGAAGAGTAGTACCTCGTAGCATTATACACAAAGAAATAAAAATTTGGTATGTTTGCAAAGGTTTCTCTCCACTTAGCTATGCAGTAAGTGTTTTATTTGATCATAATCGGGTCATGGTACATGGGGACATCATCACGAAAGAGGTATATTAGTCACACATTTGCAGGTAAAATTTGGTCCAATTTTAAATTTAGTTTATTTTTTATTATTCTAGAATTTTGAAATCCATTCATGTAAAATGGATTTTGCTGAATTTTCAAACAGGTCGCTTCTCCTCATTACTTCAGTCCACTGCTTTTCCGAAATCATCTCGATGACTTCATAGCTCAATGGACATCATCCGTGGAGGAGGCGATCGGAACTAGTGGCCGGCGGCAGGGTTTTCTATCTACATCATCTGGGTTCTTTCGCGTAAAGTCATGTGCGCCATACTTCGGAAGCTCAGCAAATTCGTTGGCATACGGATTTACGCCATCATTGTTAAACTGTCTCGGCTCTCGCGGATGGATGATAATAACTGGATGAGATCTAAGTGGTTCTGGATGTGGCTTTTCCCGACATGTTGTACACAAAAGTGCGGAGTCTGCAATCACAGCCGCAGATTTACTTTTGCAGCTCATTCGTCGGATGATTCCCATCACTCCCGGCTCTTGTTCCTCGCCGATTCGAGTGGCCGAACGTTCTTCGTGTCCGCAAGCGTACGTGGTGAGGAGTGTCGTGGACATGATTGCGATGTCCTTGTTCTTCTGTGTATAAGAAAATTCAAATGTAATCGTATGGGCGTGAGTCGATATGGAGAGAAAAATTCGTCAACTTCAGGTGTCCAATCCAGCCACTTATGAACAGCGTAGAGAGACTTGTTCAGGCACTGTTTTGGGATCGTCCATCTCGGGATGGTTTGAACCACTAGAAAATAATTAAAGTTCTAGAAATCACTTATTGAATATCAGATGCCTCGGGAGACATCTTCGTTGAAGCAAAGTTTCTACATCCATGCAATAGTTCATTGTTTGTGGTCACGTGATTGATCTCGAAATATCCGGAGGATTCGAGCGACATCTGATTCAACGCTCGATTAAGTTTCATAAGTCCTCAATGATAAGCAAGAACCAAAAGTCTCTGTTTTAAAGGAACTTTATGTAGAAGAATTAATGCCGTATATAATCCATTGAAAATCTGAAGAAGCAATATTATTCCAGAAATCCAATTCTCTTGTTCGTAGTCAAAGGTTGTGGTATCCAATTGTTGCACGAATTCCAAGTCGCTTTCGTAAAGTTGGCATATCATAAGGGTAGCATGGGGTCTCATATTGATGGTCGTGTTTTATTGTATGGAATCGATTGTATTGAAGTAACGCCTTTATCCGGGTGTCAATTTAGTTTTTTTTTGTGTTTTTTTCCTTTTAGGTTCCCTGTTGGTCCCTTGTTCCCGCGGCCGAGGTCTGTCCGGTTCGCTCTAGCTACTCACCGTGTGAGTTAGCTATCTGCGATGACTGCCTATTCTTCTGAGTCCTTGGCGAGAAGCCACTCCGTGCCGTCGTCTTCCTCTTCGTCGGAGAGTTCGACGTATCCGGATCCCGGGACGGGCTTGCGTTGGAGGTGATGATGGGGTGTTGGGTGTTGGGGTGTGGGAGTCTTCTCTTCTTCCTCCTTGGCTGCCTCCCTGGCTGCCTTCTCTTCTTCCTCCTTGACTGCCTCCTTGGCTGCCTTCTCGGCGAGCGCGATGGTTTCCTTGACGCGCTCTTCTCGAAGCTCTGCGAAGGTCTTGTTGGCGTTTCCGGGTTGGGTTCCTGCGGCGAGGAAGTCTTGAACCGAATATTCTGCGCAAATATCGCAGAGGCCTGCTCGTCCGATGTCTTTGGGGACCTTTGCTTTCTTGCTGAGAGCTCTGCGAATACTTAAGGCTCTCTTAAGTTTCTTGAGCTTGGAGGGGAATTCGGGGAAGCGGTGGCCGCATTCGTAGACGAGGTGATTAACCATGTTGTTTGTTTGTTTGTTTGTGGGTGAGTGGTTTGGTTTGGTTTCTTTGCTTTTCTGTTGGTTATTATGAGAAGCTTTGAGGATGAGGAAAGAAAAATAAGAGAAGGATTTCTGAAGCTTTATATATTATTTGAATGGAGTTGTTCTGAGAATCACTGTCATTGTTCACTTGACTGTTTGGTGATGGAGTCCAAGGTAATCAACTGGTCAAGTGAAGGTGCATCTGCTCAAGCTCATTTGCTTTCTGAGCGTTATCGTGCTCGACAAACTGCAATTGTCTTATTCAACGGCACATCAGACCTGTTATTCCATTGTAGAGTATCCATTTACATGCTGTTCAGTTCCTGTGCTCAAAATGGTGGATTTAAATCTCCTCGTACCACGTGGAATTTGGGTTCGTTTCCCCCGCAAATTACCACAAACTAGTTCGCAGCTAGTCAAAGCTTATCACCCGGGTATAAATAGATGTCGTTATTTTGATGTTGTTCAGCACTTGTTTCACATGCCTATTGCGCAATCTATTCTCCGGCTAACCTCACATTTTTCACATTTGCACATTGGTTGATTTCAGGGGGTGGGTCACGTGTCAATTCCTCGGCTTTTTTTACAGGGATGCTTTCTTTCAATTGTTGACTTCTGTTGATACATTGTAATTATATTGATTCAAATTTACATACTGTGATGAAAACGTGATATCTTTTACTTGCGGATAGTCGATAAGTAATTTTCATCCATAATTCTATATGTCTAGTCGTACAGATTCTGGGCCCACCACGAATCACTCGGCTACCGAATACCGAATGCAGATGCTAAATTTTCGACTTGCTCAATTGACCTTTCATGAATCCAATAGATATCAAACAAGCTGATACCATTCATTGTCTCTCAGCACGATAGTAAATGCAGTCTTATAAGCTTTCGAAACTCCACCCAGCAATAACTCAGCATCACACACATTCTATTAAGGTTCAAAACACTATTTACTATCATTTTTAATTTTATTTCAAATCACATTTTCATTATGTACTATAAGGTACTGGTCAAGTTTATTTTAATAATTTCTATATTTCTTATATTCGAACCGTGCTATATACTAAAAAACAAGATTCTATTTGACTTCTAAACAAAACTCCTGAGTCCGTGGTATGTGGTTCCTTTCTATCCTAGGTCCGATTCTGGCCTCACCCCCCCTCCTTCACCGGTCGCTCAAAGCCAGTTCGGAAACCTCATCCCCGGATCCGTTGGCGACTCAGCTCGGCCCTCCTCACCACGAGTGGTAGAAGGAGTCAAAGTGAGAGGATCGGGGATTAAGATGACCGGAGTCCTTGGTCTGGACTCGGAAGACTGGGATTCGAGTGGTCGGGTGATTCGCTCGTGGTGTCTCCTGAGCGTCTCGGAGGTTTGTTGTCTGACCCAGGCGTTCACCCGGGGGTGTAAACCATGGTCCTTTGGTGGAGGCGAAGGTGGGGATGATCTGCGTGGGAAGTCGGTTACACTTCTCTGAAGCTCTTGTCCTGCAAGATTTCGTTGGTGTGCAGCTCGACGCCTCACCGCATCCCATCCCCGCATGAGAACGTCTGTGCCTGGCAAGCCGGTGGTACTCGCGGGGAGAGGCCATGACTCTGTATCGGCCTGTGGCTGAGACGCGGGGGTGTTGGGAAATTGAAGAACAGGGAGGTCCGGTGGACCTTCCGCCATGTTCCACAACTGTGCGTTGGGTTGTGGTGGGGGAGTGATCGTGTTTCGAGGTGGAAGTAAAACTGGTAGATCAGGCGGACCATCGGCCATGTTCCACGGTTGTGGAACTTGGGATTGGGAGTCGGTTGAGTCTGGCGAGCCGCGAGCTGGAACTTGAGGTCTTACCTGGGGTGCGTGTACCGGATGCGTGCGATCTTGTAGGGTCTGTCCGCGAGGACGTGGGCCGGGCTGCGCTTGCGGTCCTGGTCGAGAACGCTGGCGGGCCTTTGCCTGGCATACAGGGCAAAGATCCATGCTTGGTCTTCTGATGGTTTCGTTTAAGGAAAAGGCTCTCCTTAAGCGATTTACGATCGGGTGTCGGTATTGATAGGGTGTGGCCTGGGCCCGCTCTATGTATGCCTGGGTGTCTGGGAGCTCGTGTGTACAGCTGTACACGACGATCCGTTTCGCTGTCATGGAGACGGTGGACTGTTGGTTTGTTGAGGTAGTAATGTGGGTAGCTACTTTGATTGATTAGATCTGAATACTGTGGTTTCGATCCGATTGTTTGTGTAAAGGAGGGAAGTGGTATTCAAATCTAGTCTGACTGGGAGAAGAAAAATATAATGTTTGATCGAGGATAACATTCCTCATATACTTCCCGTCCGGGATTGTTCTTCTATAGTTATGTAGCTATTACAAAGAGACTCTGAGCTTTGTTGGTAACTCTAGATGTAGAGCCAATTCATTGACGATTGTGCAGTAAATTCTTCCAACTTCACCTATTCCTAACCGTCCAGGAGAATAAATTACAATACATACAGTTGTTCTATCACTATTACCTCACTATTCAGGCGCTGTTTAGCAGTCGTTATTGTAATTCAAACGCCAACAGTAAACGTGCAGTCAATTTCAACGGAACCTGTCTATTCTAAACCACCGTCTTCCAATTTCTACCTACTCATTCCAGAGCTCACCATTGTTTCATGCCTGTCCACGACTTGTTCTGATACTGTTTAGGGACTGTTTCGATTCTGTTGGCTTCTACTCTATCGAAAAACAGTTAATGCTAGGTTTCACTTTCTTCACCTGATTGATTCCTGGTGACTAGAATTCTTCACTTTCCTCTAATCGGGGCAGATGTACACATTATGACACTTTTCATGTACTTCAAAGTATGGGATAATTAACTCGAACGAAATTCCAATTGCAAAACTATTCACATCCAGCTCCAAACCCCTCGAATCCAAAGATATCGACAACCCAACATTCTCCATTTATAGTCACGTGACAAGCCGACGTCACAACCATCCAAACCGAAAAAGAAGCTTTTCGCGAGGAGAAGCGACAAATTAGCTCCGAAGGTCAATATGCCAAGAAAGATTAAACGACCAACCCTATTCCAACCTTATCCAGAGCTAGAAAGATAATAATTCTTCCTACCGCTATCTATGTATCCTCTGTACATAACTTTGATATATCGGAATTCTAGTAGCAGTTATAAGATGTAACAGCATGACTCTCCAGGGTAAAGCAGGAAGTTTAGACTACAAAACGAATGTACTCAGAGATAAACTAATCAAGCAAACTAACAAGCTATGAGAATAAGAACTCTGATATGTTTACATCAAAGTTTTTAGTAATGCTAATCGGGGCTGGCTACCCCGGCTCTAGCACCACAAGAACCATATCTTGACATATTTCAAAAGATTCTCGTATCGTTCGTCTCTACTGAATTATCTCCGTAGGATTCTCTTCCTGACTTCGATAATGTGTATCCTTTACACCGGGGAGGGGGGGTTCTTACCTACTTATAGAGCTTTCAAGTCGATAACCCAGGGAGTATGGACCATGTTCATCTCACCCGCATCATAACATTTCATTCGTCACACAATTTCACAACATCACAATTTTCAAAATTCGAAGTACACAAGAGCAAGTTTTTGGTTTGTTTAAGTTTTTAATATTTTAGTAATTTTTTTAAGTGTTTTAATTGTTTCGCTGTGTTCCAACCAATGATATATTATTACATCACTCCCTTGAGATTCGCAAGATAATAATTGCCATCCTCATGAAAAAGATCGCTATCGCTATCTCCCTATACAAAAGAAAGAAAATCATTAGTCTTAAGCTCATAAAGAATCATAACGCCAGGGATGACAAAGGAAATCGGGGGGTGACTTACTCCTTCCGCACGAGTTGACAACGAGCCTTGGTCCTCTGCTCCTTTATCGCCTTCTCCTCTTTGATCTTCGCCGCTCTGGCGCGTAGATCTAGTCTCGGAGATTCGGCTTCTTTTGGAGGCGCTATCGAGGTATGAGGAGTTCGAGCTTGTATAAAGAGCTCCTTGAGATCCGTAGGACGAGCAGCCGGTGGCGCTTGGTCCTGGATAAACTCATTATAGTCTCTTGTCGCACTCCTCGCTGTCCACTCCTTGCGGACCTTCTCCTCCCGAAACAACCGCGCTCTCCTATCCGCCGGCGACTCCCGTGCAAGACTTTCCCTTAACCGTTCTTCCATGTCCCGTGCATGGAAATCTTCTCGAAGAAGTTCCATGTTGGTATCCCGGTAGGGATTCCGGGGAGGAAGAACGGAGTCGACGTCCGAGTCGAATCCCATTTCCGAGACAGGCGATACCGGTGATACCGGTCGTCGCGCAGCCACAGTGTTGTAGCGTCTAGGTTGGGTGGGGATGGTTTGCGATCGTGGTGCAGGTGGTAAGGGGTGGCCGTGCGGGGGGCTCGTCTCCGCCCGTATAGGCGCCTGTGGTCTGTAATGCAACTCCGCCTCGCGTTGCGCCTTCTCCTCTCTCTCCCGTTCACAATAAGGACACAACTCCAAGGAGGGTGTGCGGATTGTTTCAGTAAAGGTTAGAGCTCGCTTTATTCGATTGATCACCGAGGGCTTTTGCGGAGCTTGGAAGCTCAGGTTGGGCAGCTCGTGACTGCAGGCGTACACAATCTTCCTGATTGTGACAGGCATGATTGCTTTTGTAATTCGTTTGTTGGGGGTGTTATTGTTGTTGGGTTGGTTCGTCGATAACTTCAATCCAAAAACAGACTTTTTGCTTGAGATGTAAGAGTATGTAGATGAGATGAAGAGATGGATGAAGATAATAAACTAACATCCCATCCCGGAAACTCTCGAACTTTATACCCCCAGAAACGGATTGTTCTGCGACTCCGTAGCATTGTTCAGAAAATCATTGACGAAATAAACAATAATATCGACGCATATGATCTCATAATACAGTCTAAGAGCATCGAACAGACTTTGAAGTAGATTTCGTCCTTCGCTTTCCACATCCGGGGAGTCGAGTGTAATAGTTTTGGTATTTTGTTGGCGTGGATTTGTATTTGAATTGTACTTTCTCATCTAGGATGAAGATATATGCACATTATAGTGAACAAATCCAAATTGATAGCGTTAATGATAACTACCCAGAGAGTGTAAGTCTTCTAGGTAGTGAGCGAGGAGAGGTAACTCCAACGCTGAAGAGGAAAGAAAAGTCATAACTAGGGGAAAACATGCAAAGTCATATACGAATGTATGCTCAAAGAAAGAAAATTATTTTCGAGACAGGCGAGTTTCAGCCAAGGACGGGAATAAAATTGCGTATGTGGCGCTTAAGTTCTGGAATAGAGTAGAAGATAGGGCTGAGATGATCTCACAATAGTTTCTCTTTGTGTTGTGACATGTTCTGAGACAATTCTCATGCTGTTCTAGAATATGTACGTGAAATATGAGATATTTGGTTGTTCCAATGGGGGCTCCACGTTGTTTTGACGGTGATATTAAATTGAAGACTTGATCTATTTTAATGCATGTCTTAGAGACACGAAGAGTGCGACTCTTTTCTTTCAGTTCTTTGTAAATTGCATGTTTGAGGATAAAGAAGTCAATCCGCGATAAAGAAATTCCATAATCTTTATCAAAACCCTCAAGTTCGAACAATGGCCAGAAGAATCTACTTAATTCGGACAATAGCCATTGTAAATCTTGCAGCTCATCCTCTCAGAAACATCAAGTCCAGTCTTCGAATTACATAGTCATACAACTTTATATATACCTTTATACTTTAATTAAACAAACAACACCACACAAACACAAATCCACTTCCAATATGTCTTCAAGAACATCGTTCAAGCCAGTCGAGGTGCAGGTAGTATATGGAGAGTGCGGACACGTTTTGAGAAAGACCCAGGTAATCCCTATCCAAGTCCCCACAGGAGAGACGTCCAAGAATAAGAAACGCAGCGGCTCTACCTCATCTAACACATCTAAATCATCTCGTCGCAGCAGCTGGAAATCTTTCCTCTGCACTGGCGCAGAACAAGCTGAGAGTGACTCTGACAATGAAGCAGATCTCGAATTCCAGTGTGCAGGAATTGAACTCGTCGACCATATTGCCGGCTTGTGTCCAGACTGCACTACCCGACAAAGCCGCTTAATTGCCCAGCAACAAGCACGAGGCGCCGAAATCATCCGCGCTCAAATTGCTCAAGAGCAAGATGATGAGCGTGAACGACAACGTCGAAGCTATAGGCGCATGGAAGACAGACGTACCCAGTTCAGATGCGGCAAATGCGTCAAAGAAGATCGTCATCCTATTGACCGATCAGCAAATGACGGATTCTGCTGCGAATTCGGACAATCGTTCTGGAATGCCAAGATACCCGATGCTGAACACTTTTCAGTCCCTACCGCGGAATTGAAGCGCATGACACTCGGCACAGCTGAAGCACGACACGCCGCGACCAAGGCAGCCAATTCCTATGGATGGAAATCCCAACCTGATCGGTTCAACGGGATTGAACCAGAGGTTATTTCACAATTCATCGGAATCCCAGGAACCCAGCCTGCGTCTTTACCTGCTCCAGTAGTCCCCAGATACGAGGACGCTAACCTAGACATCGATCGATGGAACTCTCAGGTACAAACATATCGAGGCACTGCGCCCGCACCAAATAGACCACTCCCTCCAACCCCATTGACGAGAAAGCCTCGGGCTACGCCAGTGAGATTGCAACCATCTGATGGAAGACAAGGAGCTAGCAATGTAATTCCGCTCAGGACCAAGGACTCAGATGTGTCAGTCATGACATCCCCATTGAAGAGTGGTGAAGTGTCACCAGTGTCACCCACCAACAGCCATTGGCCATCGAGCCTTTCTAGACCATCAAGCCTTACTAGACCCAAGACCCAAGATGAGGAATACAACTTGGAAAGAGAGATGTCAAATCTTGAACGCGAAATTGATGGTGCATTAGAGAGTTGGACACAGCCACAAGCAGAACCAAAACCACAACCACAAGAGAGAAGACGCAGAAGATGATTTTCCTTTGTATAAGATAGAGCGACCGTAAGAGAGGATGCAGAAAACAATTACACTCATTAGTTTCATTTGTTAGTTTCCTTTGTTGGCTTTTCCTGGAAGGAACACTGTCTCACTTTCCTTTGTTAGATTCTTTCATTTGTTTCATACTCTTCAGGAATAAATGGCGGAGAAAAAGATCTGGACAAGCAAAGACTTATAATAATTTAAGAAATATATTTACAGTACGAAACAGAATTAGCTATATGAAATGGTGATGTATAGAATGTGAAATGAATGAATAGTGTATGCCGTGAACGATATAGGAGCACCGGTTTATTTGAATGTAAATTCAAGCAGTATATTCGTCGCAAAGAGCGCACTGTGACATTGTATATAACATTGGAAGGTGTAGATATGGTTGCATGTTGCGTGGTTCTCTTACCCTTGCGCCGTAAATTTAGTTAGGTCAAGCAGTCGGTCTTGTTGACATTGGTCATGATGTAGGTAGGTATGTAGTGTAAATCCAAACACATTGATTTATCCAGGCATGCAGAGTGGTATTCGAGGGACTAAACATGGTATTCTCTGCATATCAAAAACTCGCTTGCAAATGTACAATTGAACCAAGAAATTAGGAAACGCCTCGCACCTCAAAAATAACTCCACCAAATGGGCTTATCCTTCCGGAAAGACTTCACTTCCTGCGAAAGCTATTCTGAACTTTGCTACCAATCTAAGGCGAGCTCCGTTGACCTTCTGAATAGACTACCGCCTCTACCATTGCGCTCATGTCCACCTTTCCTTCCCTTGCCCTCCATGAAATTTTCCATGCGTTGCTCGTCTGTGTGATATGTCTCGGTCCTATATCGGGATTTCAATTGGCTTTGCCGTTCTTGATGTTACCGTTCGACTGCTCAGCTTTGAATTTGGCGACCTCTTTTTCAACTGCAACATCGATCCTTTTTTGCAATTCTGGTCTGTATCCGAAGATAAATAGCAACTCCATAAATACGAAGAATGGAGCGAGGACTAAAGCTTGTACGAGGTTGTCGAGTAATGCGGGGGCACGCTTTTCGAAAGCACCATGGCCTACAAATTGCATAATCCACGAAACAAAGAATACAGCACCAGCGATTTGGTTTGCCAAAGTAACATTTGAAGAAGTAGCAAGGATATGATTTGAGAATGCGGTCCATCCGATGATGAATGGGAGAAGGATACTGCCTGCGACCGGTTCGAGAAGGATGTAAAAACCGCCATAGCATATTGATCCGATTGTGCTAAAGTTCAAAGGTAAATTTGGAATAGTAAGCCATGATGGCAGAGGTATCAATGTGGGACTGTTGGAGCACTGTTATATATTGTCAGTATGCCTGTCGTCCTCAATCTCAAGATCGCGAAAACTTTGGGGCCATACAAGGAACAGGCTGGTGGCCAGAATCAATGGCACACATATCATATGAATGAAAACATTTGTAGGATTGTGATGGTAGGCTCCGTACTATATTTAACATTAGCCTATGTTTAGTAGAGTCGCAATATTCGCAATATTCGCCCGGACTTACAAAGGTAAGCTGTTTCTCAAGGTTGAGAGACATTTTGAAGAAATGATCTGATGCGACAGGTTCAAAATCTTTGCGTATGTCTGCGATATTCAGGAATGAAGAAGCAAGTAGATTTTAAGCTTGATTTGATGGTTCAAGGTTGAGGCGCAGTCATTAACTCATCGAAAATGTAGGAGTTCTCGGAATGAGTACAAGATAGAGAGATAGAGAGATAGAGGGGGAGAGCGGGTAGGATATGATCTGATCTGATAGAGAAGGTAAAGGAATTTAAGGTAATCAATACATCAATTCAGCCAATTTTGACTGTTTAAGCTGGTCGCACTGAAAAGGGTGGTTTGAATGGATGCGTATCAAGGTGAAAGCATGTGTTGAACAGTGAACCTCGGAATCAGAATGTGAGGGTGTATGGTGGTGGGTTGGTGGGTTGGTACTTCGGAATCCTCGCTCGTAGAATGGAAGTAATGAGTGGTCGAGTGGTAGAGCAGAGTGGCATGTCATTTTCGTAATTTGTATTAGTAATCAATCAGTCATCAATTATTCAAAGTATTCACCATCCATACGACCCATGCTAGATAATGCATGCAGAGCATGCAGACAGTCAATACCTCATACCTCAATGTACGCAGCAGCCAGCGCACATTTCATCCTTAACGTCGCGGGAAAAGTCTCGAAACTCTTTAGATCGCGTAACCTTCAACGTCGGGGCAGTTGAGCTCTCTCTCGCTTTCTCGCTTTCTCGCTTTCTCGACTCTTCTTGTCTTCAATACTTTTACATTTCCCCCCAATAATAACAATCCCAACCCACAGCATCGACAAACCTTTGCGCATTCTCTGTAATATCTTTCAGGGATCTGCCAAAGTGTCACGTCTTTGCAATTTCATTCATTTTCAAACAATGTATGTTCAAAGTTGACTATTTCCGGCTTTGATGAACTTTGACTCGAAAACAAAGAAGACTGACAGTTCACAGAACAGTAAGATTGACTCGGCACATCCATCAAATTACAAACAACCTTTAGGCGGACTTTGCGTTCCGAAAGAGATTCAACATTTATATGGGATTGGGTGAATAACTTGGGCTTTGGAGCAGGCTGAATATTAAGAGTTGAAGAGGGAAGGCTCTCGAATTATCCGCACTGTCTCAATAGACAAATATATTTAAACTCCGCCTCCTTTCAATAATTTCACCTTCTCTCCGACATTACAAGTTTCTACCAAGAAGGAGGATTGTTGTGTTGCAGCGCAATCCCAAAGTTACATTAACTCGCCAGAAAGGGCTTTGATTCTACAATCCTGAAATTCCATCCACTTCGCTATCTCTTTCGCTCCTCACCATTAAAAATGTTTTTCCTCTACAATCTTGAGCGTCAGGTCACCCTGCACCCATCGTACTTTGGTCGCAATATGCATGAGTTGGTGACTGGCAAGCTATTGAAAGATGTTGAAGGAACATGTACTGGTCTTTACTACATCATCACAATCATGGATACCTTCAACATTTCTGAAGGAAGAATCCTTCCAGGAAGTGGATTGGCTGAGTTCACTGTTGGATATCGTGCTGTAGTGTGGAGACCCTTCAAGGGCGAGACTGTAAGAACTCGATTTCGTGAATTCATTTAACCTGCATTTCTCATGAACATATGTAGGTCGATGCTATTGTAACCTCAGTCAATGCTGTCGGTTTTTTTGCGGATGCCGGTCCTTTGCCCCTCTTTGTATCTGCACATGTAAGTTTTGTTTGTTGTTGTTGGTATGCGATCCATACTAATTCAACACAGCTGATTCCTCGTGACATCAAATTCGATGCAAATGCAACACCGCCCCAGTTTACAAACAATGAAGACTCTGTTATTGAGCCAGGTACTCATGTCCGAGTAAAGATTATCGGTACAAGACCTGAAGTTGGAGCCATGTTTGCTATTGGTAGTATCAAAGAGGACTATCTCGGGTGAGTTTCCTATCCTAGTTTGTTACATCGAACTATCCCAACTAACTTCATGTCTAGCTGTTTGCAAGCTTCGTGATCCTTGATATAACTCAGCCTTAACTAAACTCTCAACACCTTTCAAGCATGTTCCAGTCATAACTTCAGGTTTTTATGATGCAAGACCTAAGCTTTCTTGAACCACACCACTATTGTCATTTCATGGAGATATGACCTACCCCAGCGCATTAGCTCAATCCTTTGAGCTCTGAGGTTTAATAAAGTCCACCAGCTTCACTATGGCAGGAATTTGGGTGAGCTCAATGTTATAAATGGATAGATGAATGGATATCTATCTTACAAGTGTTTCTGCTATTATTTTTCAGTGACTGGTTCTGTGAAACTCTAGCTAGGTATTTTCATTTTTTTTGGTTCAATGGTCAGATAACAATCTCAAACATTTTCCTGGTCAAATATACCACATCATGCATTTAAACTTTACTTTTAAGGACAGCGCAATTTGCAACCCGTTTATTTGCATGTGTTATTCGATCGATTTGAAGAACTGTTTTTGTGTTCATGTTGGTGTTGCTACTTCTTGTTGATAGTTCAACTCAGCATGGAACCACGCCTTTTTTATTCTTGGTTCTACCATTACCAAGGGCCAATTTTGAAGTGTAGCTTTGGTATATGATTCTGAACAAATGATAAATCCATGTCAGCCCTATCTAGAAAAATGAAATTGTGTTTGAAATGCGAGTACAGAACTAGTGTGGTTCCCTGTGCAACGTCATATTTTCGTTGCTGTATAAATCATGTTTGGAAAATGTATTTTTTTCAGTGAATGATAATACATCAATTAGCTTATTAGCGAGTAGAGCTCCAACTCTAATGGCATATCGTTTCTCGCAGACATGTCCTGAGTTCCTGTAAGAACTGTTTCTACACCTAGGCTACTTGTTTACGGGTCGTATACCACAACCTGCTCAATACGGCAGCTTTATAACCTCATGATTATTCTGTTCTCGATTGATATTACGGTCTATTCAGCATTATATATCACAACGTACTCAACACGTTAGAATAACTTTTCACTTGCTCATCGTTTGCTAGATGTTAAGTGAACTTCTTACCCATTTGGCTGCATCCAATAATCTACATTCGTCAGAGTCTGATTAGTCATTTTTCGAACTAACAGCGGTCACGACTTCAATATGGCCAACGCGGCAATCAGCGATAAATATATGAGACATATTGGGCAGCTAACCGCCAAATGTAATTGTCAAGATAACCACATCGTATGTCACCACCGCAGTTCCATCGCCACCGCTGCCGTCCAAAAAACCAAGATACTCGAGGAGACTAAAGACGGAGAAGTTAAATGCATTGCTATTGAGCCGACGATTCCCCCACCGCAGCCCGAGACATATACCGGACATCTCGCTGTGCTTCGCAACCCAACTCATAAAGAGTGGGAATCAAGACCTCACAGATATCTTTCACCCACGCTCTGTAATATCTCACCGTATTATGTCAAACGATTCGTCGAACCTCCAGTTCGTGAAAAGCTTCTCGAGGGAAAATGGCCGGGGAAACACCATGAATTTACCATGGGGAAGGCTCAAGAGGATGAGATTAAGATTATGCAAGATAGTGGAGTGGTGTATAAGAAGGAAAAAGACAAATATACCAGTCGAGTAGAAGCAGAGAGGAAGAGAATATATGACTTCGAAAAGCAGCTTGAGATTCTGATGACGAAGATACAGGAAATTCGATGGACGCGAGAGAAAGAAGAGGAATTATGCGATTATCTGGAACATCTCGTTGGGGTTAAGGAATGCGCGGAACAGCAGCGAGAATTTGAGGAGCAGAAGAAGGAATTTTTGGCCCAAGGGGAGAGGTTCAAAAAACGGATAGAAGAACGGGTTGAGAGCATGATGCTTTCGTTTAATTACGCGTGTGCAGCTGAAGTTCGAAGTTGGAGATTGCTTGATAGTATTGCGCAGGCGCATGAGCTGCTTTTGAGGGATTTGGGGGAGTGTTTGGAGGAGCAGGATGCGAAGAAGTGGAGGGATCTGGAAAGGGAAAGGGTGGAATGGGTGAAACGAAAGAGAGAGGGAGGGGAGGTGAGGGGAGGTGGAGGTGGAGGTGGATGTTGAGGATGAGTTTGTGTATGATTCTTCTTGATGTTTTTGGTGGCGGTGAGAAGATCTCGTGAATCTTGAAGGGTTGGATGGATCATGGACTTGTTAGGTTGGGTTGGGCTATATTTCTATTCCATAAAGTACATGAAAAATTACAAGTTATCCGAGCAAGTCTGTAGGATAGGATACCTACAACATGGTTAGTTAAGGAATTATCCAGAAAGAGTTCGATGCTTCAATAAACTTTTTAAAGTGTATATAAAGCTGTGATGTGATTACTTTCCTTTCTATCTTGTGAATGTAGATAGAATAAATCTCTACTTTGTATGTAGACATAGACTTGACATCAAAAGCGCATACCCAGTATTTACATCTGTGCGAGCACACCAGTAAAATCAAATTAACACACAATTATCCTAGACTTCAACCAGCTAGGACATTTCAATTTTTGCCTCGTATCTTACTCTGCTGAATAAAGAGGAGAGGAGTAGTACCATGGCAAGATTCATGATTTGTTTTGATATCTAGGGTTTTTATTCATAGTATATAGGTAGGTATTGTGTGATAAATTCTTGTGGAAATTTCTGATATATGTATGTACCGTATGTTCTGAGCTCTGAAGTAGAAATGAAGATGATGGGTTGTAGAACGATGTCTTGAATTGTTAATTGGAGTTTTGTGTTGTGTTGTGCTTTCAAGTGTGCTTTGAAGTGTGTTTGAGAACTAACTTAGTCCTGGTGTCCTGGTGTCCTGAATGCTAAAGCTGAATTGAGCTATGGAAGATTTGAATAATTTCAATTAACTTGTTGTTTGAGATTTGTGGGGAAGTTTTGCATGTTCTTGCAGATTGAACTTGGGTTTTAAAGAGGTTTCTTATGGGTGGATTTGGAACAAACGTTCATGGTTCTGGATGTAAGTGAGTGGTATACTTGTTGGCTATGTTGATAAATTCTGTAAACCATCTTGGGAGCCATGAGGATGATGAGATGACAAGTACATTCTTACATTTGGATAAAAGTTAAAAACTAAATGGCGATTTATCAAAGATTGTCACGGATAGGACCTATACATGAGGCAAAATACTTTGTGAGTTGTGAAGAATTACCATTTTATGATCATGGATTCTGCTCATCACATTTTATATATCCTTTGGGTACAAATTCAGAGATTTGGAAAATCCCTTAGCAGGTTGGAGATCTATATTGAGAGGGTTGCTGTCTATTAATAAGGTACTGAGGGTTTCTCTTGCCATGATTTACTTCATTATCATCATCATATAACATCGAAATAGACTTGTATCCAGAGTGTGAACAAATACGGTACATTAATTTTTTAAATTTCAGAGTATACAAATAGTTACAATTGGAATATTTATTCCCCAAAGAAAATAAACACATTGATTGCTTAAATCAAACCGTCATATCTTGAGTCCTGCCTTTTTACTTGTGCTCTTTGTATCCTGGTTTTCTCTTCATTCCTTCGAAATGCTGGTATGGTCTACCCCCGGTACCTTTTGTAAATGCCATATGAGTTAAATGTACATACAAATACCTAGCCGGCTCGCCATGCATGGTGAGGAGAGCAGATTCCGGGGGCCCGAACATAAAGTAGTTCTCCAGACCTTGGTGAGTCACGGCAAGTTGGAGTTCTCCATTTGTCATTCTCACAAGAGCGTTATTGAGCTGCTCTTCGTCATAAAAATTTACCCTTCCCTGGTCCTCCGCTCTTGGGATCGTTTCAACCCAGTCCCTCAAAAAAGCCTCATTGGTCAAGCCGCACGTCCATGGCTCGTTGGGATACTGGTTCTGAAGAGATAGTACCACAGCTGCAGCACCACATGTACCAAACTTGCCAGAAATTATAGCTGTCGTGAAGAGCTTCTCCCATTCATTCCTAGAGAAATTCTTTATCCTCAATCTCTCATGAATGGTGCCAACGTTGATACGTTCAAGCTCCTCTAGCCCAATTTTTGTGGGCTTAGGATGATCAACTCGGAGCTCGAGACCGACCAATGATGTTCCACGTTCTGCTGCTAGCCTGTCCTCTTCTTCCTTTAATAGCTTCAATGCAAGGCGCTCGTCTTCAGCCATCATCTGCTGCTTTTGAGCTTCTATCGCATCACTTTCTTCGGTGTGTGGGTTTGCGTAATCTGGAAGCCACGATTGATGGCTATCTGAAAAGATAGAGACGGCCGCTGCTATAATTGCTTTATTCGCGTCATTAGTGTTGTGAAGTTGCTCCATTGCTTCTCTACGGAGCTGTTCATCTTGCAAATATTTGAAACTCTCGAGTATCTCGAGGACCCCATCGACTGTTAGTGTCCCTGTAGGCTTAAAGGCACTGGATGGAGGAGAGATCTTCGGTCCAGGCGGAGGCCTAGGAATGGGTTTGATTCTCTTATGATCTCTCTCATCTATGGCCTCTTCTGCGGGTCTTTTCTCTGGAGTCTTTTTGTCTATATCCGGAAGTGAAGGATAAATAACTTCCGTGGTTGTTCCAGTGACTTGTGGTTTCACCGGTGTGGTTGGCACATGGTAGTAGGTCAAATTATGTATAGGGGCCTCATATCTGTCAGTAAAAGGGAATCACTCAAATGAAGGTTCTAGGCTACTTACAGTTGTGACTTTAGGTCCTACATTTGAAGCATTTGAAGTGGTAAGGCTACTAAACCAGCTAAGACCGCCCACCTTGGGAGGAATTTTGGTTACGGGTTCAGGCGGTGGGATCTTGACCTCGGTGGGTCTAGGTTTTGAAGGTTGAGGAATTCCTATGATCACACCTTCGTGATCGTCGGTGGTGTCATGTGGCGGCGGTTCCTCTACTGGCTTTTCGATTTTCGGTTCTGTGATTTTCGGTTTGATTTTGAAAGCAGTTGGTGTCTCTTGTTTGGGTACATAGACACCTGTATTTGTATGCTGAGGCTTATGTGGTGAAATATCTGCATATGTACCGACGCCATGTATAATATCGTGATCTGGATCATAATTTGGGTCTATCCAAGGTTTGGGGGATACAGGTTTCTCATTGTCATCAGGCACGTAATCTGGATTATCTATGTCTGTTTCGTCTGACGGAGTTTTAGGGGGAGGCTTCGGTTTTTGTGATGGTTGACTGGGTTGTGAACTTGGCCCTGGCTGGCCTACTGGGTGAACTTTTGGCGGAGGCTTCAATGGTGGAGGTTTTGGAGGTTTTTGTTGTTGAGGATTTATTGGACGTGCAGTAGCTAGATCGCTGATAGTCGTGTTGAAGTATGTAGCAAGTGATTCCATAGCACTTTCTGCTGGCGGAATACTGGATCCTCCACCGACGGCTACATCAAAATAAGGATTATTTCCGGTTTTCTCTTCCAATCTTTTTAGCAATCTCGCTCTAGCTTCCGAGATTTTTTTCGGTCTTTCAGGCTTTGCGGGTGTTCGTTTTGGGAGTTTCTTTATTTTCCGTGTTGGAGAGAAAAGTGGAGGTACTATCAAGGGGGTTGGCGGCTTTACAGGCGACAGTCCCGGTAAGGTAGGATATGACACCACACCTGTTTGACCACCCGGCGGCGGCGGAGGCATTCCACTAGGTGGCGATCCTCCAGGCGGCTTAGGTGGTCCCCCAGGCGGTCCCCCAGGTGGCCCCCCAGGTGGCTTAGGTGGTCCTCCAGGCGGTTTAGGTGGTCCAGGGGGCTTTGGAGGCTTGGGGAGTATCTTCTTCTTTTCCCCGGGAAGCTTTTCAATGTCACTTCGGTTGTCTTCCTCTCTAAATCCCATGTACTTAGCAACTTTGCTTCTCCAAAAGTTTACACTCCTTTCATTCAGCTTCATAAGATCCATTAATCTGAATATATCAACCTCTTCTATGGCATCATCATTTTCCTCAGGCCATTCTTGGATTCTGTCGTTTGGATTGGAAACATAATGTTCGGCAAGCTTCACCAAGCTCAAGCAGAAATCAACCCATTGAGTGACATCCTTTACATTGAGGGAACCGCGAGCTTGTCGGAACTCAATGGTATGAGCCCGTGATGAGGATCTCAATGACAGGAAATTTACTAGCCTGTTTGCGTGTGTCAGAGGGAAATTCATGTAACCAGCGACTTCCTTCTCATCCCTTAGTTGATCAACTTCATCGCGAATCTGTTGAATTGTTCTTTTCTCTCTATAGAGAGAAGTATCCGCTCGCTGATCCCAGATCTCATGGATTGTTTCCTCATATGTGACATAATCCGCGCCCAGGAGCGTGTGCAAGCGATTGCTAATGAGGTTGCCCCTTGCAACAGGATGACCCGGGCGACGACATCTAGGGTGTAGCCTTGAGATCTCCTCTTCGTATATCAGCAAAATACAAGCCAACTCTTTTAGTGTAGCAAGGTCGGGGGCCTCGACATGCACATGAAGGGCACATTGATTTGTTATGAAGCCTTCATATAGTTCATCTCCGGTACCCTTGAGCGCTTTGACAATTTCTTCAAGCTCGGCGGTATCTTTACGGTTGTTACTCTTGAGAACTCGAGATACCACTTCTATGCCATAAGAATCCCATCGTTTAGAAGTTTTGCCAGAGATACGTGGTATCCATTTGTAGAGATTTGCGGAACCTTGGCCGACAACCGTTAGATCTGTCGAAATGATCCATTGATCGTAGGACCCTTTAGTTTTATCCTTCTTTTTTCGTAAACCACTGTGCTTGATATTACCTTGAAGCCTATCAATCTTGTTGTTAAGTTTATTAAAGACAATTTCTTGTGGTTCGAGATTATATGGCCTTAGATTAGATATATCCTTCTTCTCGTCCTCATTTTTGATGTTATTTTTGCGAATGGCCCAACTATTGTAGATAATGTTGGCAAGTCTTCCAAAGGGCACGTTGACCGCTGGACTCCATGCTGGGTCGCGACGAATGGCTAATGGAACATTTTTCTCGATTCCATTGTTAGGGCCATGCCCCTCACGGTCTGTAAGATTGAGTTCTAGATCATGAAATGCCAACACGTATTCCAATTCGACACCATATTTCAGACTCTTTCGCTTAGATTTTGTTTTGTCCTCGGCTTGTAATTGAAATGGATTCGGGGTGGGGAGCGTATAAATAAAAGGCGAGACAGCGCGGTGAATCCAGTCGAAAATCATATTGCAGACCGTTGATCTTGTAGCTTTTCTTAGATTCTCTGCACCACGGTGTTTGAGAAAAGGAAACTGAAATGTGAAGCTGACTGCTGTAAAAAAGGAGAATTATCCTTTGATAGTACGAAAACGGACTCAAACAAAGATGCACATAATCAGAAAGGATAATAGCTCAAGTAAGAAAGATAACAATTAAAATAAGAAACTCCTTTGTTCCAACAAGTAGCATCTTACAATTCAATTAAAGTACTCTCGACGTCTACCTAGCTACATGGTGGGAAGGCCAAGATCAACTACTTCTGGAGCCCTAATCAGCACAAACAATTGCAGGCGGAAGTCAATCATTTCTAGAGAAATATCTGAGAATGCAGAAAGATTTAATCATTCCTGCTCGCTCACTCAGGGGGCTTCAACAAGATACTTGTCAAAGTTGACTTGTTGCACTTCGTGTAATATTTGGGTTATAGGGAATTTCCGTTATTCTACAAGAATCACAGACTACTCCTGTAATGACAATTTGTCCCCGATGAAAATGATGATTATTAGGAATATTACGAACAGTGCAACACGTGCGATAGTATGCTAGGTGTAGGTGGCCTGCCCAAGCACTTGATGCAAAACTATGTGATCAAAAAGGAATAAAAACGCTGTCAAGCCATGAAGGTAGATAAAACAAAAAACGAAAGAAACTCGCTTTCCCCCATAACGAGATCCATTAAAGGCTCAAATACAATGCGCAGCTTGAAGAATAGAGATAAAATCTACTGCCACCCATCAGATCCTAAGTCGCTTAGTCATGTGCAATAAATGACCTTGAAGAGTAGACCATAAGAAGTATTGGATGAAACAGATGACATTGCAATATCTAGCAGAAGCAAATATAAATCCAACCAATTCTAACTCCTCGTTCGAATCCGATTCCTCGTCTTCATTCTCCTCGGGTATCGCTTCCTCAATCTCAATCTTTCTGGTATCCTCTGCAGATCCTATGTAATGATACAGATGGACCTCGGTGCAGTTAAATAGACGGATCAACATCACTTGGTCTCCAAGCTGTGAAAATTGACGATTGCAAAAACTCCAAATTACATGTGAATTTTCCACGGGAAGTATTCAATTAAGAGAACGGCGCAGCACTCCACGTTGAGTTATCAGGATTTTGTAGTATAGTGATTGTTTCGAAGGTGTGCTTCTCGTCAGGAATGGTAGCAGTTGGGACAATAGCAGGTTTGGATGCTTTCTCAGGTTCAGATTTGGTGGCATTAACTAGTGTCTCCGTTGCCTTTTTCTTTAGATCTTTTGCTTTTTGTGCCGCTTCTTGAGTTGCTTGTCGCATAGCTAATGTAATAGTCGTTTCGGCAGCCCCAGAAGGTTTCGTGTTGACCGATTTGGGTGTTGATGCGGGAGGGGCAGCAGGAGCCACAGCCGGCTTGTTATTCTCTTTAATATTGGTTGGAGGTTTTGCTTTGATGGCTGGGTTTGCACCAGGTCCCGACACAGGTACAATCTTGATATGTTGCTTCAATTCGCCGTATTCGTTCCAATCCTCAATCTCAACGAGATCCTGAAATTGTTAGCCATGTTCTCTGTATCATTTGATTTCAACATACACCAAGAACCAACCCTTCCTGGACTAAGCCTGGAATCTTTCTAGCACGTCCCGATTCATCTTTACCAGCTCTGCGACCCCATAGCATTCGTGCCTTTTCATCGGTCGCAATATCAAGCGCTTTGAATGGGATTCTGTTCGCTTTCAAGATGGTCTCCAACCTCGATGTCGCAGTAACAATGTGCGATGAACCGGAAGTCAACGATGTGTACAGATAGAGAGCAGGATCGGTGGAGTAGGAAGCAGAAGAAGACGAAGCCATATCTGTTAACTTTGAAGCCTGAAGTGCGGGATGTGTAATGCTGTGACTGATGTAGTTCGTCGACGACGATAAAGGTGATGAATAGGCGGTTTAGTAATTTCCGCTTTTGACGTTTATAATTAGAACTTCGTAGAATGAATTTGAGTATTCATAAAAGCTTTATATATTTCGATATGGCATAAATCCGAGACGATTTGGCAGGAGTATTGAGGGACCGTGAATGTCATTTCCGCTGAGCGCATTGTTTCAGGGTGAAGCTTATCGGCACCAACCCATTGATAAGAGCTCTAAATCCCGAGGGGAGCGAGCACCGAGCCAAGATCAATCCCTTCACATAACAAAATATGACAACTTCTAATGGTGCTCAATTGATAGCCCGCGCTCTCAAAGACCTGGGAGTAGAGGTTATATTTGGTCTAGTTGGTATACCGGTGGTACAAATCGCGGAGGAAGCAATTGCTGTAGGAATACGGTTCATTGCATTCCGAAATGAACAAGCTGCAAGCTATGCTGCCACAGCATATGGATACTTAACAGGACGGCCTGGAGTTTGCCTCGTTGTCGGTGGTCCAGGTGTGGTTCATGCAATGGCAGGCATAGTCAACTCATCTGCCAATGCCTTTCCAATGCTTTTACTTGCAGGCTCGAGCGAAACTCATTTGATTACAAAAGGTGCTTTTCAAGAGCTTGATGCTATCTCTCTTTTGAGTCCGCATACGAAAATCGCAATCCGATCAGACCTCGATTCAATATCACGCTCAATCACAGCAGCTTATAGAACGTCATGGTATGGCAGACCTGGAGCAGGTTTCGTTGACTTGCCTGCAGATATCATACAAGGAGAAGGAGAATACACATCAACACAGATAGTGCCTGCTGCGCCACGAGCCGCAGGGGATGCGGAAAGTATCAAAAAGGTTGCACGATTACTGAAGTCTGCAAAAGCACCTCTTGTTATTGTTGGAAAAGGTGCCGCATACGCGCAAGCCGAATCTGTTGTTCGACAATTGATCGACCAGACCAATATTCCTTTTCTACCAACTCCTATGGGAAAGGGAGTCTTGCCTGACTCTCATCCATCCAACACAGCAACAGCTAGATCTGCAGCACTCAAAGGTGCCGATGTCGTCCTCGTTCTTGGTGCGCGACTCAACTGGATACTTCATTATGGCGAAGCACCGAAATACAATCCGAATGTTAAGATAATTCAGGTTGATATATCTGCCGAAGAAATTGGAAAGAACAACGGTGACGCCGAATTTGGAATAATTGGTGATATTAATGTGGTCGTCAAACAACTAAGTGATTCTCTACAGGGCTGGAAATATGATACATCTTCAGTATACATAAAGGAACTGAAAGCAAGTAGAAGCAAAAATGAAGCTACCGCTGCTAAAACTGCGAAAGTTGACAAGTTACCAATGACATACGGTCGAGCTTTTGATGTCATCAAGGAAACCATTCATAAATTATCACCACCGGAAAACGGTAGCGTAGTTTATGTATCTGAAGGCGCAAACACCATGGATATCTCACGTAGTGCATTTCCTGTAGAGCATCCACGATTGCGTCTTGACGCTGGAACTCATGCCACAATGGGCGTCGGCCTAGGATATGCCATTGCAGCTCATTGTGCCTATAACCTACCCTCAAGAGAAGCGCGAAGCGGACCAAACTCTTCCCACAAGAAGATTATCTGTTTAGAAGGCGATTCTGCTTTCGGGTTCTCACTGGCAGAGGTTGAAACAATGGCGCGGTACAGTATGGATATTCTTATCTTTGTTATGAATAATGGTGGCGTGTATCAAGGTGATAGCGAAAGCTCAGATGAGTGGTTGAAACTGCAAAAGAACAGTGAAATGGGTTCCAAGGGAGGCTTACGTAGTACAAGTTTAGGGTGGGAAGTTGATTACCAAAAAGTTGCAGAAATGTGTGGCGGAAAAGGATTTCTAGTCCGTAGTCCTGAAGAGCTTGCAAAAGCTACTGAAGAGGGCTTTAAAGCAAGTGTCCCGGTGGTCATCAATATTATCATAGAAGCGGGGGCACAGAAGACTTTGGTGAGTATGTTTCCACTCATTCATGGTTACTTGACTAACTTGTTGACAGGAGTTTGCATGGCAGCAAGATTCGAAGAAGAAGAATTCAAACAAAGCAAAGTTGTGAAGACGTTTGAGGATATTCTAATGAGACAGGGGTGGCCGACTTTGACTTTGAAGTCACTACTTCGACCAATCGGGAAGGTGCATGAATCGACTCAACATTCAACATTCAACATTCAATGGAAGCAAAGACACAAGAAGTGATATCTTTGACTTTCTATTAATTCTGCAAAGTTCTTTTCTGTTCTATTGATAGATTTCTATACAAGAGGCAAATCCATGTCCATGGGTGAACAATGTTTTTCACTTGCATTTTCTGAAGGGGCCATTCAACTGCAAAGCTGCAAGTTGGCTTGAATATTGAAACATGCAATGGACCATTGGTACACACGCACCTTTATGCAGGGATTTTAGTTTCATTATTGTTCTCCACCTTTTCTTCTTCTTTGTATTGACGTCAGGGCTCTTAGAATGTATATTGGCGTTAGATACTTGTATAATGATTAGACCGTTCATAAATGTATCTTTAATTGCAATCTGATACCTGTGCCACGTATCGTTTCTTGCTTCGCGCTCATATCGCACATCGATATACCAAGTCGGTCGGCTCTATGAACCTCAGTACATAATACCCTCATCAACCCACCCGATGTGCTGGCCCGCTCTTTACTCCATTCGCAAAAAGAAAACCAAAGGCAAAATGTTTGACGGAGCCAAGTCTCCCAAAGATAAATACCAACCCGAACGCACCATCCGTGTCGACGCTATGCCTCCCCCCTATCGATCTACATACGTGGTCGAACCAACTCTCGTACCTCTTAATTCTTACCACGAAAGTATGTACTATGCTCAAGAAAGAGAGCGAGAGCGCGAACGCGAACGCGAAAGAATATTGGACTTTGAGCGGGAGAGAGAAAGAGAAAGGGAAAGAGGACGAAGACCGAGTTGTTCAGATCTCTTCCATAATATCGATGTGATACAACGTCTAGGCGAAAGATTCAAGGGGTTGAATACGACTTTTTCGCCACCGCCGCCCTCAGCCTCTCATTCAAACTCCAGCGCAGCCAGTCATACTTCTTCAAGTCCTGGTAATAGCAACGCACATGCTCGAACCCAAACCCAAACTCAAACTCAAACAAACGAGAGTTTTGCGAATACGGCGATATTGGCCGCGAGGATTAAAGAGCTAGAAAAGGAGAAAGAGTTAGCGAGGGAAAAGGAAATTGAAAAGCTGAACGGTGGATTGAATGGTGTTCGGGGAGACATTAAGGGGCTGCAGATGAAATCTGAGAGGGAAGAAGGGAGAAGAGAGGGTAGGATAGAGGGAATGGGTATCAAGATTTTGGGTACTGGGAATATACCCCCATTTGGCGAAACCTGGATCAACACGAATGGAGAAATTAATTATTTCTCGCCACCTCGCAGCCAAGAACGAGAAATCGAGATACCGAGACGAAGAAATGAGACGGAGCAACAGGATACACGGGGTAGAGTGGATGAGGAAGCGATTTTTCGCAGGATAGATGAGAAGTTTGCGGAGGGAAGGATTGATCGGTTGGCGGATGCGGAGAGACAGTTTGGAGAGCGACAGAGGGAAATGGTTGCGGTGATGGGGAGAGGAAGGGATAATGAGAGTGCGGTTAGGATGAATAGGTTTGAGGATAGGGTTGAGGGGCGGGTGGAAAGAGTTGAGGATCGGGTTGAGAGGATTGTGGAGAGGGAGATGGGGAGGGGAAGAATGTTTGGTGAGGGTGTTAGAGATAGGGATAGGGAAAGGGATAGGGAAAGGGAAAGGGAAAGAAGAGATAGGAGTGAGGTTGGAAGAGAAAGATATGCGAGACCTAGAATCATGAGAGAGAGGGAGAGGGAGAGAGATTGGGAGTATGGATATGAGAATAGAGCTGTATCTGGGGGGCCCAGATATCGAGGGTATGTTTAGATGGTTTGACTGGATGCTATTTGTTAGAGCTACTTTGGTTAGAAATGATGGGTGGCGAGGGTATGGACTTAGAATATTGCATCGAATCTTATTTTGTTTGGTTATGGTTAAGTGTAGAGTCTCTTTGCATTCTAGTGAATCGTTCTTGTTGGTTTTCTCACTGGAACATCTCATCTGATATACTGTAGGGATGCGATCTGATTATTCGAATTTCGAAAACCCATACAGCATGCAGTGAAAGCTATGATGTTCTTGCAATGTTGTCATTGATCTCACAATTTCTCGAGTTCAGTACAAAGCATTGCTTTTCGTCTGGAATATACTGAACAGGTTATTCCAGTATGTTGGAACATCTCGACATTGCTCAGATAATCGCATGTGGATATTTTTTCACTTCTCATTGTTCCCCTGAGATTTTACTAGAATTTCGGCTTCGCACTCAAATCAATTCCACCTTTGCGACAAATCTCAATCAGAAAATTCATGAAAGCAAAAGTCTGAAGATATTCCCAATTGAATTTACACGCAAAAGAGTGGCCCATCTTCCAAGTTGCTCAATAGAAATTACAAGAAATTAACCGCAGTGATGCAAGGTCCACAGAAATACCTCTCCAACCAAGTGGGTAAATCATCTATCTCATATGAAAATGAAGAATATCGCCTTAGCAGGGCCACACCACTCTTGAATCACGCACGTCGAAACCCCCGCTCGTCCAAAGTTCCGCTCGTTGATGGCTCTACAGCGAACTAGGCATCAAAATTCCAAGCACCTGGTATCTGTCTTTCCGGATGCTCGACCATATCCCAAAACTCCTTAAAGCTGCCCTTATATATACACCAGGGCTCAATAGTAAACCAGAACTGCCAGTCGCTCTTTTTTGGTCCATATATAAAACTCAATAAACTGACGTTGTAGTCCTGGTACTCAAAGCGGGGGCGGGAGAGTCGAACCGAGATTAAACCCAAAGAATTGCCATCATCCCGTGTCTTCTTTTCCCACTGACCGTATTCAATTAAATCGATTCCCTCTGATATGATTTGATCGAGCCATGTCTCGATCGAATTTATGAGACATTGTTCAAGGCGATCAAAGCTTGCATTTGCTCTAGGTGAATAGTCGCACATATCAAATGAAGCCGCACCTCTCAATAATCGAAGAAGAAAACTATGATGGTAGTCTTTATATGTATCTTTTAAGTGGTGATATTTTGAGCCAGCAAGAAAAAGATCATTTGTGATAATTAGATGATCTTTCAAATGATCTCCACACGGTACCACGGTATTCCCGTTGCACCGAGCTGCCAGATGATATGCCATTATAAAACCCAAGCTGTGTGTAATTCTTCTCAATAATGTGAAGAACTCCGCTTGCTCTAAGTTTTGGACACAAGCTTCCAAATCCATATTGTCAAGGGTCAACCATACGATTTCTTTCATGTGTATTAATTGGCATTTGGAAATTCCTAGCACTAAAAGTGCCCGTTCGCGGCGACTTCGGTTGTGAATCGGATTCTCGGTAGATTGAAGTATCCATTTCATTGATTCAGGGGTGAAATAATAGGTGTAATGTAGGAACGTCGGTAAATTACTGATGACATCACAATCGGCCCTGGAAACTAAGTATTGCATTATTGCAAAAATATCTTCATCGGGAGAAAGCACTTGAAGCGGCAATGACCATGCCGGCCTAAGCAGATTCGTGAGTCTCTGCAGCTGTGATGCAATTTTGAGCTAACGATGTGCTATACTTACTGACCTATACCATCCTCTTTATTTATGTCCACGCCTTGATCTATCAAGAACTGGCACGTGTTGTATTTATACCTTTGGGCCCCAACCTTTAAATTTTGGTCAAAATAGTTCAAAAACAAACGAAGGGGGAATTTCCTACATGAAGAATAGTCTCCCCATATATATTAACATCGTACGGGCTTGCCTGCCGTGTTTGAAATAGTTGCTGCATACCAGCCAAATCTCCCACACGGGCCAATTCCATTATAGGTGCATCATAATCAACAACGTTGTATATTCTCAATTTGAAATCCCATCCAGATATTGATTGTTGATAGGCACACAGTTCCCATACACCCGAGAAGAAAGGAAGTCGCAGCTTTGCACTAAGGGTCTTCTGATACTTTGATAGTGTTTTTGCAGACCTAGAGCCTGAAGTGGTATTCGCACTTGGTGTAATCAGAAGACCCGTTGTACTGTTAGATATCTGTTGTTGGGTAGTGACGATTGATGCAGCCGAGTTAAATGTATGCAAAGTATTTCGAATTTCCACCATCTCTGAGAATTGCTGCGTAGCCAATCTCACTTGTTCGTCGTGTCTCGATTTGCTCAAACTCCTAGCATCAAGTCAGACACAATCAAGCCTTGAACTGAAATTATTAATACGCAATATAGTTCTGATGCGCCATCATCATCAATGAATTTGCTCTCCCGAGTCTCTTCTCCATTTTCTCTAGCAATTCCTTTTTCATTACCATCTTGACTCCACCCCATTTCTTTCTCCGTTTCATTTCATCTTCTAGCTCCTTGACGGCGTTGTTCAATATATCCACGCCTTTTTGGCACAACCGAAGTGATCTCGCGGCTGCAGGCGATATTGTCTGGCTACCTAGACTGTCCTCGATTTCTGTGAGTAGCACATGCGTTATGTCCAATTCATCGAGAATGTATAAGATCTCTTCCGGGGCGTCTTTAACGGCATTCCAAAATGACTTGAGTTTCAAAATGCCATCACCAAGTTGAAGAGCTAAAGATATGATGCCCACTGCGCTACCAGCGACACCAAAGGCTTCCGCCATCAATAAGTATACAAAGTAGAAATTATTTCTGAAATAAATCAAACGAAGAAGTATATAATGATTTGTACTGATGAAGAAACAAAACAATAAGAAAGAGAGAGTGAGAAAGATGAGGGGTTCAAAGCCTCGTCATGCATTACTGACCGAAATAGGAAGGAGCATTTCCAAAACGAGCCTAGCACCAAGTATACATGCAGTCTACGAAGCCTCGCAGTGCGCCTTATTGTGGCTGTGAATACCAGAATAAAGTATCTCAAGTGTCCACAGGTCTCTCATGAACACGAAAATGAGCTGGCCAGTCAAAAAATTTTATTCAACAGATTGTACTCTCGGGTATGCACGTGGTATCTCATTGGCTGATTGATCTTCAGCCAATAGGTTCATGCTCGACAGTGTAGTTTCGAGGCCTATATACTGTGGGAATCTCATTGGATACGTAGCTTGAATTAATATTAGAGTAGGGTACAAGGTATATTGCATCATTAAATCAACAAATACACCGTTCATTCCACCCTACAAGCATATGAACCATCCAAACCCTCTCCCTTCACTTCTCATGATAATCCAACTTCTTCAAAAAATCCCAAGTTTTCTTCAATTTCCCCCCAACATCCACACCATCTTCTCTTCCCCTCCCCCTCCCTCTTCTATCTCTCCCCTTCCCGTTTCTATCTCTTCCACCCCTCTCACCCCTTCCACCTTGTTTCCCTCCTCTCGATCTCTCCTTTCCTTTCCCACTTTCTTTTCCACTTCCACCTCTACTCTTATCACCCTCTCCCTCTCCCCGTCGCTTTCTCTCTTTCTTTTCCTGGACTGGAGACGGAGACGGAGGCGCTAAACTTTCAGCATCACTCTCCATTTCCCCGTCTTCATTTGCACCTGGATGATTTTCCTCTCCTCCTTCCTCCCCATCACTTTCTTCACCATCAGAACCGGAATCAGTCTCTGGATCTTCTTCCGGTCCCGACTCATCATCACTACCACTCTCACTATCACTATCGTGCTCTTCTCTCATTTGCTCTTGCTCATTTTCCTGCTCAAAGGGTGACTGTCCTGACGGACTTGGACCCGTTTCATCATGGGGCTGTGGATGTACTGATTCTGGCGGACTTGTAGGTACAGGAAATTGTTCCTTCTTGCGTGATTTCTCCACGTGAGGTTTCTCAACATGATGATTCTTCTCCTTTGATTTTATTTCTCCGCGAACATCTCTTTGGCTTTCTTCCACTCCCTTATGGGGCCGAGATTTTTGGGTCTCAGGCTTATGTCTTCGAGATTGTTCTGGTATGTTAGCTGACGGCTGAGGTTGGTGTGGTGTGCGAGGCGCCGGTTGTTGTTGCTGTTGTTCTTGTTGTTGCTCAGGACGTCCATAAGGATTGTTGGACATATCACCCGGTCTAATGTATTGATTATGTCCCGGAGCTTGTGGTGGCATATGAGGGTTATGTGGTATATCACCTGGTCTTTGATATGGATTATGCATTTGCATATGCGCTGCAGGTGCAGGTGCTGGTGCTGGTCCAGGAAGCTGGGGTTGCCTATTTTGATATTGGCTATGAACCGGGGGCGTGTGCATTTGCATCTGATTTTGTCCCATGTAGGGATTTGGCGCTGCATAGTTTGGATTTTGTGAAGCATAATTTGGACTCGGTGCACCATAGTTAAATTCTGCTACCCCTCTAGCATTCATATGGGCTTGGGGTGGGGCTGCTACAGGCGCAGGAGTAGATGCAGGCGGAGGAGGAGGGGGAACTTGCATATTTCCCATCCCCGCTCTAGGATCCATCCCGATTTGACCTTGAGGTCCTGGGCCCCCAAAGTTCGATTGCATATCATCTTCTCTCGCAACCAAATCATCATCATAAGTTCCGAATCCACTATCAAGATCGCTGTCATCATCACTATCACTTTCTCCATCCATACCTCTTTGATGATTATATCCATCTTCATCATCACTTCCTGATTCGCCATCTGAAGCTGAGTCTGCTTCTGATTCCGAGCCCGAGTCTGATCCGGATTCTGAATCACTTTCTGAATAGGATCGTCTGTGGCCTCTAGACGGTGGAGCTTTATTTCTTGGGCCTTCGGATTTCGAATCTTTACCTCTCAGATCTTGACCTCCTCGCTTACCATTCTCTCCTCGTGCATCTCTTCCATCCTGGCCATAACTCACTCCAGTCCCACCCACACCTCTGGCTGAATTTAGTGGCGACGGGAAACTAGGCGGTCTCATCCCACTTCTCGCCGGCACTACAGGAGGTGGCGTACCCCTCATCTGTTGCTGATGTGGAGAAGGTTGACGCATAGCTTGCTCATGAAATTGATTACCTCTTGCATCATATCTCTGAGCACCTGGATAACTAGGAGGCGAAGCTTGTGGAACTTGTGGCGCATAATTCATTCCGGATCGTAACTGTGGTTGAGATTGCAAAGGACCGAAATTCGCTTGTGGACCCCGTGGTTGATAAGGGGGGAATTGTGTTCGTTGTTGTGGAGGAGCCCAGGAACTTTGAATCTGAGGCATAGGAGGATGATGAGATGGAGAAGGTGTTCTAGCACTAGCCATCGCTGAGAATGGCGAAAAGGCATTGTGAGGAGCAGTAGCCACACCAGGCGTCAGACTTGGCGGAAGAAAAAGTTCGGATTTCCCACGCGTAGTCGGTATAGGAGGGACTTCTAATTCTACAGGATCACGTTCACATGCAAGTTCGAAGCGAGTAGAGCGAGGTCGTGAGAGTTGTTGGGGTGTTGAGGGTATGGGAGCATAGGGTGGTGGGTTTGGCGGCTCACTATTGTCTGTTGCTAGTTCTGCTGCATCTTCGGGGATGGAGGGAAAGGCTGTTGCAGCGGATTTGGCGGAATGGGCGGCTGGGTATGCACTATCTAGCTCTTGAGGCGGCATGTCACTTGGATTGGTTGGGTAACCATTTTGAGGTGCGTAATTGTGCTGACCCATGTAAGCGCGATCGTCATTGGGAAGATAGCTGTAAGAATCCTGTGGAGTTTCCATGTACTGGTTATTCGCAGAATAAGAATTCTCGTTTGCAGGATGATTAATGTTTGTTGGATGTTGAGGATGATCATCAGCAGATTCGCGAACAGAATCTTGATGATCAAGCTCAGATGCTACTGCTGTAGATGAGCGCCTCGAACCTGCGGCAGAAGAATTATCAGGCCCCTCTTCATCTTCACTTCCCTCATCGGATTCTGCATCCGAATTAGAGCGAGTATCAGCATCAGGGTCTTCTTGATCAGAGCCATCTTCATTCTCGCTTTCACCATCAGGATCATCACCACTATTTTCCCCATCTGAACCAACCGCAGTGCTTTCATCATCTTGTCCATCTTCAAAAGGATCCTTTGTCGATGAAGGACTACCAGGATCTGCACCGCTGGTGACTGATTTTGCATCTTCATCTTCTGGACCTTGATCTGGTTCGGATTTTTGCTTTCCATTGTCTTTCTGATCTTCCATTTGAATCCATTCTTCTTGTCCAACACCATTCCACCAGTCTACAACACTTTTCCACCAAGCAGCACAGCCATTTTCACAACACCCGCACCCATCATCATCGCCTATATATGGCTCTTCGTTATTAGCTCCACTCGAAGGTGGCTGTCCACCATTGTTAGGCCCTCTAGACTTTCCTTTTGGGCCTCTCCTTCTGACACCTCCACTACCGGGTCTAGACCTAGCTCCAGGACCAGGACTTCTGGGAGAGCTAGGCCCTGGAGAATATCTGCCAGATTGAAGACTTCCGCGAGGTGGAGGGCTCAGCGATCGAGATCTTCCAGACATTGCAGGACTTGGAGGTCCGCTGCCCATTGGCGAGCGATATGAAGAGCCTCCCATCGGAGATCTCTCTTGAGGCGAACCAACATAAGATCCACTTGCCATAGAACCTCTACGTGATCCTATTGGAGATCCCATTTGGGAGCCCACGGGAGACTCCGCTGCAGATCCCATTGGGGAATCTGGACGGCTACCTGGAGATTGAGGAGGTGATTCCACGGGTGATTCTCCAGGAGACCCTGATGAGCCGCCTGGTGACTCAATAGGAGAGCCTTCAGGAGAACCTCCAGGTGACCCTCCAGGCGACATTCCTGGTGAAGCACCTGCTATTGAATTGCCCGGCGACAAACTACCTGGAGGTCCACGAGGTGAGCCACCACCTGACATCGGCGATGATGGACCCGGAGATCTGCCACCAGGAGGTCCTCTCGACATTGGCGATGAGCCGCCCATAGGAGAACGACCACCCATAGGAGAGTGTCCACCCATAGGAGAACGACCACCTACAGGAGAACGACCACCCATAGGAGAACGACCACCTACAGGAGAACGACTACCCATAGGAGAACGACTACCCATAGGAGAACGACTACCCATAGGAGAACGACCCCCACCCGGTGATCTACCCCCAGAGTATCCACCACCTGGAGATCCTCCCGACATAGGCGACGAACCACCCATAGGTGATCGACCGCCACCCGGAGAACTATAACCAGGAGCATTTAATGGTGGCAAATTTCTCCTAGGAGAACTATCTCTACCAGATGGTCCCCTACCACCCGATGATGGCGGCCCTCTTCCAGGAGGAGGCCCCCTACCACGAGAAGACGACGGTGGTTGAGATCTAAACGGTGCACCACCTGAGCCGCCTCCTGGCGGTCTCGAATGACCAGCTGGAGGTGCAGGACGGCGTGGAGAGATGGAGCGACGATTATTTGATCTAGGATCTGATCGATCAGGAGCGCCATATCCAGGGGGTCGCATTTGTCGACGATCATCTGAATTAGATTGAGGGGGATCCCGTCCATTCGAGCGAGATTGTGGAGGATAATTTGACATGGATCTGCGATCAGGTGCTCTTCCAGGTGGTCTACCGCCAGTGGCAGGATTCATTTTTCCATCACGTCCGGGTAGTCCGGTAGGTCGAGATCTGCCTGGTAAACTTGTTTCGGTAGACAGTGAACGGGGATCATGTCCTGCTCTGTCTAACGGGCGTCCTCTATCGTCAATACCTGGCATGGAACGCCCATTGCTTAAATCTCCAGGACGACCACGAATTTCATCAGGAGGGATGCCACGTCTAGAAGTTCCATCGGTTGGATCGTCTCTTCGACCTGTTGGAGGTGGAAGATTTCTTGCATCCTGTGGCGCACCTCTTCCTTTCTGGCCGCGTCTTCCATCAATGGGGTCATTTTCTTCCCAATCTGGACCGTAATCTTGTCCTCTATCGTTAAGTGCTCTATCAGGAGATTGAGGCCGAGATCGAGAGTTTCCAGCTCGATCATCGCCTTTTCGTAGGTTATCGTTTCTTCTAAGAGCGTCTTCTTTGCGTGATGCGATCTCCCGCGGGACTCCTGTATTATTCCTATCCCGTTGCTTACCTCTATCCGAAGAATCACCTATCGGAATCGGAACGGGGACACCGGTAGTAGAAGCTTTTGAGATATCGTCGCCATCCTTGCGATGATTCATATTTCGCTTGGTAGGTGAATGTGGCAACAAACTTATCCCTGGTCTGCCTGTCCGATCATCTCCCCTATCTCGTTCTATATCTGCACGTGAAGATCCCAATGGTATTTCCCCTTCTTCTCTTCGTCTTGCAGGGTTGTCTCTCTCGTGGCGATCTTTGGTACCACGAAGTTGGTCCACTGGTAGAGGACCACCTCTTCGTGGATTATTCCTAGCATCTTGCAACCGTCTGTTTTCTGCTTCTCTTGCTCTGGTTGGGGAATTTGGATCATCCTCTAATCCATCTGAATCATGAGACGACCCCTTTGGCTTTTGCCGTCTTGTATTTTCAGGAACATCAAGGTTACGTAGTTTGGGTCTTTTACTTGTAGCTTCCGAGCCATTTGGTACAGAGCTAGAACCAGATGCAGTTGGGGGTGCAGAGCGTGCGTTGGATGCTGTTGGCGCCTTGGAGTGTGGTTTGCTAGGCTCTCTATGTCCATGCGGTGGTTTGCGTGAGCTCTCATCCTCGCCTCTACCTTTCCTTCTCCCGTGCTTGTTACTTCTTCCATCTCTGTCTTGTGGCGAATCAAACAAGGAATCTTTGAAATTATCCATGAAGTCTTCTATAGATTCTGGACGTAGTTTCCCAATATCTTTAACCTCTGAATTAGTGTCCACATTGAGCATTTGTATATAATTAACCAACATGGGCGCATCGAATCGAGTGTCCTTTGCAACGTCGACCTGGAGGGGTTTAAATTTCACTCCCCTTATCGATGGAGGTTGGGTTGAGCTGGCATGAAGAATCCCACACTCTGACAAGTCCAAGTCTTTTCTCAAAGGCGTCACTAAGAGGCATGTACAATGAGTTCCAATATCGTCCGGACCTTCCTGGGCTTCCCTTATGACCAGAAAATGCTGACTCGATATTCCATCTTCATCTTCAAACGCTGTGCTGAATGCCCGACCTTTTGTGAAGAATTGCTTGCTGTGAGTTCGATATCTGTCCCCTCCGTTCCTTCTGTCTGTATGTCTCGTTTGCTGATCTGCCATCCGTCCTATGTTCAATAATTTAGCATGATTGTTTTTGCTTTCAAATCGAGGAATCATACCATGACGATCACGTCTTGCATTACCAACACCCATAGGCAGCGATCTATCATTCCGGGTCCCAGCTGGACCTGAAACCTTCCCTATGAATTTATTAGATATGTTAAATGACAAATTGAAATCTCAAGACACTCATACTTTTGTCTTCAGCGGGCAATGCCCTTCCCTGCCCTCTGGATCTATCCATATTGAAGATTCGTAGAACAATATATATGTAGTAAATATACAGAGAAATCACATATAAAATACTAGAAGAAAAAGAAAAATAACCAGAAATCTAACCTCACAGTGCATACCTACCCAACGACGAGGAAACACAACACGAAAAACATTACACAGAACGGGATACTCACTCCCATGATTTCCCCAAGCGGAGACATATGCAAAATTTAAAATTACATCCCAACAAGAAATTTGACCGCATCGCCTCAATATCAAGGTCACGATGAGGTCAAATCGAGGTCGGCTCTTGCGGCTCGAGCATTGGCGCGCGGTAAAGTTTGTTTAATACACAAATCAACGAAACTCCCGAAAACGGAAAACATATTTATTCATACTCATGAATGACAGGGTTTCAATTGAAGAATTACTGAATAGAAGCACTATCGTATCATAGAATAGATAATCCTCTTCTCCAAAAAACCACATTAACTATCTTCATGACCGGTAGCATTCCTCACGATCCGCGAAAGGCACTCACTCGATGCGCGCCGTATGGATGGCCACTTAGCCACGAGGGAACTGGGTCTAGACCATATTCCGCCATCTATGACAATTTCAGAATATTCCATCGCGGGAACTCATTCATTTTCTCGTGATAAAGTGGGTTGCGCAGTTGAAATGGTAACTTACCTAGATGTTTCTAATATGTATAGGTATTGTATGATGTGTGTTAGCCTAGGTATGGAAAACAAATTTCTCGGTACGAGGTTTCCCTGCGCTCACAACATTGCAATGCCTCTATCGTACATCAGCGAAATAACAGACGGGAGGGGTTTAACTATCTAGAAGGAAATGGGGGGTTTTTATGTCCGTAGTGTAATGGATGTAGAACCGGTATATAGCCAATTAAATGCTCTTATCTGATTCAAAAAAAAAGCTATTAATCAATAAATTAAATACTACAACAGATATAAAAAACCTATAAATACAATAAATTCTACAAATATAGAATAGATACAATTTTTGAAATTCTAAATACTAACTAATATCTGAACTTAAGGCTATTCAGAATAATAGAATACAAAAAGTTCAATCAATTATCAACTATATACTAATTATTACACCCCCCTTATACCTCATATAATACTATTAGAATAAACTTTGACTAATTCGAATTATTCTGAATTCAAAAATCCGAATTGTATTGATTTTGAAGCTCTATAATAATAGCGAGTAAATGTCAATTAGTTTAATATAACTTTTATATATTATCCTATCAATATTACACAGCAATTAGTTAAGAGGAGGAAGAGGCATGTGAGAGGTTTAGATGTGACTATATAAAGCCTTAAATCCAAGGCACATCAGATTAATCCCTGTAAACTGTTATATTCTTCAACCACTTTTATTTATTTCAGCATTTTTATTTAATCTGAATTCTTTTATACTAGTTGAATCAATCTAAGCTAAATCGACTTTATATTTATTATACATCCAATTTAAAACTTGCATCCATTGTAGACTAGATTCTATATTGTAGAGGGTATTGTAACTATTATATATGCCCCCCATTTCCTATACGGTAGGTAGGTAACTTTCAAAAGAATTCAACAATTCTCATCTTTTTTTAATATAATATCAAAAATATCAAAAAATAAAAATAAAATTCTCATAATCAATATAAAAAGAACTTAAAATTTTTATTTAATCTTTTCTGATTTTGATTTTTGATATTTAATCTAAAAGTAACACAATTTATATTTATAATCTATTAAAAAAGTCCTTTGAATACCTAGGTACCTACCTAGTAATCAAATTCCGCCTGTTTTTTCTTCTACGAACACCTAGTTTGCTTAGGTGTTTTACCTAGTATCTATCTAGTATCTTAGATATATTACCGAAATCACAGATAGGAATTACATACATACATGTAACCACTCTCCACTACCTACCTAGTATCTAAAAGAACTCGAAAAGTAACATTTCGAATTGAAAAAAAAAAAAAAAAAAAAAACCACAAGAACTGCCATACCATCCCAATGATATCCCCCATCCCCCTCCCCATCTCCCTCCCCTTCTCCAAAATCAAGACAGTATCAATCAATCAATCAATCAATCAATCAATCAATCAATCAATCAATCAATCAATCAATCAATCAATCAATCAATCAATCAATCAATCAATCAATCAATCAATCAATCAATCAATCAATCAATCAATCAATCAATCAATCAATCAATCAATCAATCAATCAATCAATCAATCAATCAATCAATCAATCAATCAATCAATCAATCAATCAATCAATCAATCCATCCATCAATAATAATATAACTTCCCATATGCGATTTACCTACCTATCTACCTACCTACCTACCTACTACCTACTCTACTTCCATTCCACTCTTCATCTAGTATGAGAAAATACTCGAATGCTGCAATACCTCTCTATTACTACTACTATCAATTTCAAATGCGAGTAATAGTTTTATTCGAGAGTCATTACTTGTGTATCGAGTGCATGTCTCAATGAAGATACAATATGCATACTACACACAAATTTCGCAAACATTTCCCCTCGTCTAGCTAGTAATAACATCAATACGCATATACAAGTCACAGAGCAATCACTCAATCCAAAGTCAATCAGTCATATAAATGAATATGATAATAATCTCATTTCTATCAAAAGTATTTCTGTCTGGTCATGTATCTTACGTATCTTTCCTCTCTAGAATCTCTTCCAATACCATTTGTCATGCTATCAATCCATCGACTTGTCTCTCATCTCCCCCTTCCCTTCACTATGCACCATCCACCATCCTCCCATTCTCTGGATTCAATATCCATTTCCTCCCAATCAATTCAATACCCATCCAATTCAGATAGAACCCCAAGTAGAAACCCCAATTTGATTCAATTCAACTCCCATCCAGCCAAATCAAATGAAAATAAACTCAAGATCCATCCATACCAACCATCCAAATCAGCTACTGTAAAACGCAAGATCGGTTTCCATCTGCTATCTCTCCCAGAAAGAAAAAAATCATGATAAAAATATCCCCGGTCAGTCCCGTCCCGGTGTAACGGTCGACCACCCGTCGAGATCTAAGAAACCCCATCCATCCATCATATTCCACATCCACCAAGCAATTCAATCAAACCCGACCTTTCCATCTTGGAATTCCCCCACACATTAACTACTACTCATCAATTCATCAAGAAAGGAAAAAAAATTGTTGAGGAAAAACAGCAAGTCTGAAAACGTTCGTAAGACTGATTTGGAAAAATGCTAAAAAAGCGCCAACGATAAAAAAAATGCAAATATGCTAATGCCGGGAATTTAAAAGGTTATGAAATGGGACTGTCATTCTGTCCACTGCTTATACGTGATATTTAATGACTGTTATAGCCATAATCATCAGAAGACCAGTCCATTGTCATGTTCATGTTTTGATGCAATTGTTGGTGATGTTGTTGAGGTTGTTGATGGTTTTGATAGTGGTTTTGTGGTAAGTGGTTGCCAGTACCAGCAGCAGAATTAGCAGCGGTTTGTGCATAGAATGCAATCAAATCCTCGGGAAGAATTCCAGGAAATCCAAGTGGTGCTTGAGGAATGATTTCACCAAAGAGTGGAGCAGGGTTGCTATTTTGTCTTTGTTGAGGTGCAGAAAAGAGTTGGAAATCTTGAACACCATTGGTGGTCATGCGAGTGTTATTTGGAACAAAGTCTTCAAATCCCTCATCAAAATCTTGCATAGATTTTGGTGTGTAAAGCATGGTATTACCTTCACCGATAGGCGAAATGTGTGCCATTGATTGTGGGTGTTGTTGGGGTTGGTGTTGTTGATGTTGAGTTTGATATGTGACACCCGATGTCTCGAATGCCATGGCATTTTGACCCATGATATCTTGGTAGATTTGGTGATTAGATGGAATCTGAATTTGGGCTGGGGCGCTGTAAAGATCAGTTTGCTCATAAGCTGCCCATTCATCGTTTGGTGGGTAAGCTTGCATAGTCTCTTGGAATTGATCTTGAGCACCAAGAACAGATGTGGAGTTGAAAGGAGAATTTGCATCAAATGGCGATTGTCCATCAGGAGAGAAGGAGTTATCCGTGATGGGAGAATATTCCATGTTCAATGATTGTGGGGGTTGGAACAAGTTCATTTCAGCAGGGTATGCTGGGCCAAAGAAGTCCATGCTATGGTTGGTGGTGTATAATGAAGTATTCTCATAGAGCATCTCATCATCAGCAATGAGTGGAGATTCAAGGTTAGAATCGCTGCCTGGAGTATGAATGATAGTATTTTGGGGAGTAGGAAGACCATTGGGAATGACAGCAGGTGCAGCAGGTCTGTTCTTTCCGTTGTTCTTCGATCTAATATACTCCCAGCCGTGGGCTTTCTCCATGTGTTGCTTGCAATTCGACTCACGTTTTGATCGGTATGGGCAAGGCTTGAAGTGACACTCGAATAGTGGAGGAGCGGCTGAATGCTTGTCATTTTGATGACGGTCCATCTCTTTCTCGGTTGGCCAACCATATTCATGATATTTGCACGAAGTAACGGGACATTTCCAGGGGCGGGAATGGGTCTTCTCGTGTTTGGTCAAGTCACATGGACGCTTGAATGACTTGTCACATCCCTTTTCGCGACAAAATTTAGGGGCGAGCTCAGCAGCAGAAGCATCCTTCTTACGACGTGCCATGGATCTCATCACTGATTCTTCATCTTCAGCTTCTTCGCTCAAGGAGCGCTTGAATCTCATCGACTTGTTGTCATCATCATCCATGTCAACCGGTTGGCCGGTGGCAATGGAAATGGCCTTGCCAGTTTTCTTGTTGATGCGGACAAGTTCAGCGGGTCGACCATTTCTGGTCAGACCACCGTGAAGCTTGACCTCATCTGATCTAAATGGCCAACTGATTAGCAAATTTTCAAACTTCACATTGGAGTACGAAGAAACCTGGGGGACATACGGGTGAGCATCCATCTCGCTAATCGTTTCTCCTTTCTCTTCCTTCTCCTTAGCTTCTCGGACCTGTTCAGCGTATTGCTTAATCTGTTCGACGAGATCGACAAAGTATCCGTTAGTATATGGGCGGTCGTTTGGTCGCGTTTGTTCGCGTTCATTAACAAGTTCGACGGTAGCTTGGATGCAGTGAATCGATTCCAGACAAAAGTCGAGGTACAAGGAGGCGCTCTTTGTGTACTTCTTCAATTGCAAGAACCAGTGAGTAAACTCCCAACCAACATCAATATGGATTTCACTTACAGGTGCGGTAAAAATTAAAGTCTTCTCCAGGTCGCGGAGAGATACGATTTCCTTCTGATGAATTCGTCTGGGACAGTCTTGGAGGAGGGGATGCAAGTCTTTGAAAGACTCCTTTGCTAGGAGTGGCTTCAAGATATGCTCTTGAATGCGAGCGGTAGTGCGAGCACTAAGTCTAGGAAGGCTTTTGATGGTTGTAGATGGAGCAGCAGCCGATCTAGTGATAGTGGATGGCTTGGTAGATTTGGAGACATTGTCATCGGTGGTTACTTTCTTGTCTGATGATGATGATCCGATGGATGATCCAAGACCGCTGTCCGCATATCTGGGTGTGGTGCGACGGGGACGTGTTGATCGTCTCACAGAAGATTGTTCTGATGGCATAACTCCGTCCATCAATTCGGTATTGTATGATTTGGTCGAGGGGTTCTCAACGTTGACGACACCACGAGGAACAGGATCAGACTCGTCACGGAAGCGACGACGTGAAGTAGAAGATGAATGATTGCCGGCAGCAGTAAGCTCAAATGATTCTATGACATCGGCAGCACGACGCTTGTGTGATTCGACGGCGAAATCTTCAAGATTGGACAATGAACGTTCGAGAGCTGAGAGATTGAATGCACCGTCGACTTCGTTTGAAGGAGAAGAAGGTGAGTGGAAAGTGGCACCTTTGCGAAGGGAAGCCATAGTTGTATTAACGGTTGGCCGGCTTGACGTATTCGCAAGAAGAGTCACAGCAGTAGATGTGGTCTTTGAAGTTCTTCGGGGATGTGTGAACGACATCCTGAGTGGTCAGGTCTTGTGAACTTGCGAATTGTTCGAGGACTAGGGTGAGATTGATTAGCCCTGGGAATCTTTTATTCCATGCAAGAAATGTGAGTCACAAATGAGAATGAATCGATGCGTGTCGGGGTGTGGGTGTGGTATAAACGGAGATAAAGTGTATGTAAGAGGTGAAAGTAGGTAGCTTCGGTGTGGGAAAGAAGATGGATGTATGGCTCAGATTAACCAATCCATATGAATTGACTTTCGGACCAATAATTGCTCAATCAAGCTCTTGCAGTGAGAAAGTGGATGGAGGAGGTAGGTAGGAGATCAAAGTACGGGGAAAGAATGAATCAAAGCGTACAGATAAGTAGATGGATGTGTAGTTTGGCGGCACAAATATCACTTTTCGAGGCTGAGAGCCTTTCTCGACGTTGGTTCAAAACAACCTAGCAAATCAAACTCAGAAAAGACGACAATGAGGTTCGTGTCGACTACTCCGACTTCTATTTAGTATGGCGATGTTTGTTTTCCCTTGATCGGTCGAAGCTCTGGTTCATGAAAGATCTCTTGATGGCAGTGCTAAGATGGAGGGAAGAGAGAAGCGCGAAAGGTCGGGATAGAAGAGGGTCAAGATTAAGGTTTAAGGTGTGGAGGTGAGGTTGTTGCCTAGAAGGGTTGAATTGGATTTGACGAATGAGGTATAAGATTTTATCAATTTGATAATTATGGGATGGAGAGATGAAGGGAATCGTGAATCAAACAAGCACAACCACAATGACACCGGTCGTGTGTATTGTTTGGGTTAATGTTAATAAGTCGAGGTTGAACGCGTTAGTAAGATTCGTGGCCGGTGAGGAATTAAATAACGGGAACTGGTTTGTAAGAGGTCGATGAAACTTGGCGTGTACCTAGTAGGTACTAGGTGGGTGGTATTGAGAGAGATGGAAGAGAGAGAGAGAGAGAGAGAGAGGAAAGAAAAAGAGTGAGAGTTGAGTGTGAGTTGAGTGAGTGAGTGAGAGTGAGGTGAAAGATGATACGAAATTTAGATTTGGAGGTTGATTAGCCCAGAGATCCGCCTCGTCCGTCGATTCATTAAAGCGGCCATGGATTTCTAGGCAACAGTGAGAATGGGCTTGTCACTTGTGTAGTTAGTTGTCGCTCAATGAGGAATCAACCAGGATGAGCCAAAATGAAGTTAGCTTGGTAATCCCATTTCAACCAGGGAAGGGGTCACTGTGTATGAGTGATGGAGTGAGGGAGTGAGGGTAATTGATTTGGAGGCGTGGCAATGGTAAGAATTGATATCATTTTTCATTTCATCCTTCACTCTTTCCCTCTTTCCCTCTGCTGTGCTATTTTTATATGCGTCAATTGAAGGATGAACCTCTTACACATATACTCGTAGAAAGAATAGACATTTATTATGTAATTACTAGGTAGGTGTTGTATAGAATTAGATATATTACTATCACTACCTAGGTACTTGATGCTCAACAATGTTCAACACACTATCTATCATACATATCAAGGTCTCCTCCAAGGTTTCCAAAACTCAAACACCACAACACACCACAACATAACATCCAACACCCATCCATTTCCTCATTCTTCCCAGCAATTTTCCTCTTCGGCCCCCCTCGTACGATACCGAAACCGAGATGAAATCCCAGTTCCAACACTTGGAAACCTCATCACATCCCATTTTTCCTCCATGCAATCTCAAACATCTCCACGACGGCGTCTATCTACTAATCTAGGAAAGCTTAATTACCGATTGAATTTCAAAACAGCAATGAGAAATGGCTTCTGGGAGATATCATTTCCCGTCCCTTCCTATCGCGCTTGTATATCATACACATACACATACACATACATATTGTTAAGCTGTCAATTTGTTTAATAAATACCTCACTATAGTTAACATCTCAATTGCTACCCTCGCCATCTATTCCATCGCTAAACCCAATCAATCATGAAACATTCTTAACCCCAACCCTAACCCAACTCTCAAGACCCTTCCCGAATCTGTAGTCGCGATCCAGATTCCCCATGATTCCCAAGTCGAAATCTCACCCCCTTGATGCTCGCACCTCTCTCTCCCATTCGACAAACACATGGGCGCCGTCCATTGCTTCCCCGCAATGCAGACCCTGAAGTGAACATGGACTATGCTCTGGTGCTTCTGTCGGGTGGTGATTTGGGCGGCCAATAAATAGCCCTGCTGCCTTTGTGTGAGGTTATCTACATACATACATTTCCACCATGCACGGAATACCTACATAGAGAGATAGTTAATAAACCAACAACTCTGCAGTACCTATTCAACCGCACAGCTAAAAATACACATCATCAATCCAGCAGCAAGCACATAAGGATCCAATCGAGTCAAAATCCATGTGCCACACATCACCATCGGTAATTTCCCCTGAGTGGGAAAGTTCTCTAAAGACACATCTTCTCATTCTCATCCCCATTGAGTGTATGCCCAGCAATTCATACCCAGGTCGTCAGTCAATCTGTAACCAAAAGTGGCAGAATCCCCAGTGCAGTTGTAACCAGCCGGGTGGATTTATAAAATAAAACACAGTAAGAATCCAAATAAACGTGGGAACGGAACGCCATTATGATCACTCACAAGGGGGGCCCCGCCAGATTGTCTCTTCCCAACCACCCTTGTTGAAGTCTCGCGCTTAAACTGTTTGGTGGGAAGGCGATGCTATTTCCATCACTTAAGCCTTGGACATTTAAGCGTAAAAGATCCTTTGATTGTGAATCTACTTCGTATGATGTTGTTTCTTTGCTAATTTTTCAATCGTACTTTTTGATGAGATGTACTAGATATTCCCGCCAAAAATCATCTAATCACTTCTTTATCCAACTTTTCTAAACATATTCGTAGTGTGATCAATGTAACTTTCTCAACTTGGTATCAAGGGGACTCCACTCGAACCAAATTATCGTATGAAATTGATGTCAATTCATTGAAACGATTGTCGATCATTGCAAGCGAAAGCGAAGATAAGAAGGGGATATGTATTAATACTGTACCGTACAGCATTGATGAGTAAACCCCGAGCCCCGTTCCCACGGAAGAAACGGGAAATCCACCTGATCGAAGCTAAAAGAGCGTCCAGTCCAGTCTTCAAAAATAAGGTGCAAGGCTCAAAGCTTGTCCTTTCCCTTTCCGTCACCAGGGACTGACTGGGGGTGTGTGCAAGAATGAATCGTTTCCCCTTTCATGTTAGTCAGCTGCACGAGACAGACAGGTACAGGCACGGAGGATTGTTTGGGTACCGTACAGCAAACGGAGTAAGACGGGCGAATTATCACCCCGAGTCCACTTTAAACTCACCGAGTAGTCAAAGAGCCTCAATTTTGCACGGGAGAAACTGGAAAGTCTGGAAAAAACCGCAAATCTAAGCCACGCTCGCTGCTTCAAAGAGTCAAATAGACCTATCTACCTATCGAGAGCCAATAAAAGAACAAATGTCGTTGAACTTCGGTGGGCAGTTTCGACGACCGGTAGATCCCATGTACTTCCGTATCTAATCTTTCTTATTTTTCTCCTTCCGTCATGTAAGGTTATCAGAATCATCATATCTGGCAATCCCCCGCATAATCAATTTTCAATGCTGCTTGGAATGTGATGCTGCCAAAAACACCTTTTGGCCGAGCTCCTGAATTTCACATGGTCTCTTCGTCGTCAGCGAATCTTAGCGACTGACGAGTATAAATACGTTTGCAAAGATATCCATCGTCATCCTCTCTAGGTATCAATAATTGTACGCCGTCAAGATCGTAAGATTGATTAACAGCTTCCTATTTGGATATGCGAACCTTCATGTCTGCGTCGACACACGTCAACAGCAGATCCTACCTAGTACGTATCTTATGAATTGAGTTCCGTAGTGTGCACAGTGCTTGGTAAGCGAGGTAAGCTTCAACCTTGACATCGGAATCATCCAAAGTTTATCAGGTCTCGAGCAGGTGTCCAAATTCTGATGTGCGGATCATGCATTTCGCACTCTTCCTCAACCCGAGCTCAATTCCCCAAGCGATCGAGACGGCGGCGGTCGATGACTCCCATTTGACCACGTCTCCGCAACTTTAAAGTTTAAAGCGTGATCTTCATCAAATCGGGAGGGCCCCTTTGCAAGGATGAGTCAATGCTGGTCCACAAAATGCGATGGCATTGGAACATATAATTGGGACGAAAATTTGGTCTTACACTCGAGACGCTTTCCATGCCGCAGGGCTGCAGAATTATATCTTCGTCATAATAATGGGCTGTACGGCATAGCTCTGCCATCAACATTTTCCCCTCTGCCCTGAAGCCCTTTTCATGCCCTTCCATGCCCTTGTGAAGCCCTTGTGAAGCCCTTGTGAAGCCCATACATAACATGTGCCCTTGTGCGTCGAGCAAAAGTACCTCCAAGTACGAGTATCTCAATATACGTTCTCCAGCCCTAAGAGGTAAAGACTCAAAGTTGTACGGTGGTTCCTTTTCTTGGTTACGCGAATCTCACCATAGTTCCTCAAAATTCCGTATATTGGTTAGACCACCCACACGACCTTACCAGTTTTGAAGCAACAAATTCATGTTTCGTGCCATCTACTACCGAAAACTTTTGTTGGTCGAGAAGAGGCTGTGTTAATTAATTGAACCACAGTGCATGTCATCTCGTAGGACGGGCCAATCGCCTAATCAAATCTTCGACAACACAGTGCATCGTTACGATCCGTTCTTCCACACTCGCTGTAAGTTCCTCGTAAGGCTTTCCTTTCCCGTCTGGTGGTCTTCATACAATGAATTTATCAAGTGTGAACCCTTTTGCTCTCATTCATCTGTACTGCATGTACTTGTGTCTCAAAAAAACGGACAGTTTGAATATGCTGTGTCGATGACAATCCATGCGATCCAGTAATTCGGAATTGAATTGCTTGGACCGTTTGCAAGCTCATGAGCAGCGGGATTAAAAGTCCGCTTGTAAATGATCTTCATAGCATTGACATAGTACGGAGATTTTGTCATCTTCTCATCTTGGTGTAACGACAATTCGGGTTTTCAGGGGGGGCAAGGATATTGAACTAATTGTGGATTTGCTGTTTCGATTGTTCAATTGTTCAATTTTCAACGAACTACACTTTCTCAACTCGACTTCCCATTTCGAGAAGAGAGCTTCTCACGTTACGACCTCCAAGGTCAGAAAGTGTGATCACGTGGCTACACAGCATTGACCAAGGAGTTCTGCACTATTCCGCTCTTCTTGAAACATGAAACATTCAGATATCAGACTCTTGCATTGATATTCAAAGTATTGGCTGTCGTCATCTCCGCCACCTGAACATACTTGGGATCTCCTTGAGCCTCATCCACTTAAATGTCTCTGTAATTTGCCTTTGCAAACAGAATATCAGTCAAGTATGACCGTGTTTGTTTCTTCATCCGAAGTATGGGATTGAGGGAATCATACGTTTCTTTATTACCATGGAGTCATTCAAAGAATTCTTTGTGAATCTTACCTTTTTGTGACTGAAGATAAGTGTTTCTTTCTTTTCTATTACTCAAGGCTCTCTTTCTGCAGTCATTTCATTCTCTCTTTTGGAATAACAAAGAGGATCAACAATCACTCTCTCAAAGTTTCTTTCTTCCTTTGTTCAATCACAAAGATTCTACAGACAATCTTATTATTGAAGCCAATTGTTAATAAATTCGAGAACAACCCTTCTTACTGGACCTACATAAACCATCGCATCCTCGCAACCTTAATCTATCTCTCTTCTTGAAACCATACTCCAACTCCAACTCAAATCCCATATCTCAAACAGATTACCTCGATAAATCAATCATTATGTTGTTCAAGACAATCCAAATCACTCTTTTCTCGGCCCTCGCCATTGCGTCGCCTATTGCTTCGAATAACCTCATCCTTGGACGTGCCACTCAGGCCGAAACCATAGTTGGTGCAATCTCCGGCGCCTTAACCGACTGCAGTACCGCACCTTTCCCAGCTGAGTGCGCAACTCTCACTCAAGCAGCAAAGGGTATTGCTATAGCTTTCGGAAACAAAGAATTCACTGCTGCAGAAATGGGCGCCATGATCGCACTTATGTCGTTTGAAAGCGTGAATTTCCAATACAACATCAACCACAGCCCCGGTCGTCCAGGCCAAGGAACAAAAAACATGCAAATGGCGAAATACAATCTCCAATACGCGCAATCTATTCCCGCCCTCAAAGATCCTCTCGCAAAGATCACCACAGCTACCACCATCGATGGCTTGTCGGACGACAAGTTGAACGAGATCCGAGCTTTGGTTTTGGTTGACGAGTACACATGGGGAAGCACACCATGGTTTTTGAAGACATTCTGTGCTGATGCTCGAACAGCTCTCAAAACAGGTACCGTAGAAGGATGGCAAGCATATATGAAGTGCGTTGGAGTTGATCCCGCTGATCCTGCGCGATTGGCCTACTGGACTAAAGCCAAGGCCACGATGGCATTTTAAGGGGATAGCTCTTCCGCTGTGCGGAGATGCGAGACGATTCTTTGAATTCTTCATCTTTTTCTTTGTACATAATACATTTCTTTTTTCTACATGATACCATTTTTACACTTCTGTGTTTCGGGCAGACACACATATTTGGCTAGGTAGCTAGACATTACATAGTTAATCAAATATCACGCGTGATTTTACATGCAATTCTTTACTTTTATATGCTTTTCTTAGTTTTGAAACTTCAAGTACTTACTTCATACCGATTATGCCCAGTTCTGTAACACATACCCAAACTCTGATTTCAAATTGAATATTCATCATTCTCCCATCACACCACACCTCTTATTCACCATTGAAAGAATCATCATTCCAGATCTCATTTACATTTGACTTCTCAAACCCTCCCCCCCCCCCCCAACCATACTCACTCAATCTATTAATCATTAATTCGCAACCTTGGAAATACAAAGTGTATCTCAAACCTCAAACCTTACCTCATCCCACACAATCCCCTCCCCATCCACAAAACCACCGTTCTCTAAACTCCTATCTCCCATTTCCTACCTCCCATTTCCTATCTCCCATCTCCCATCTCCTACCTTCTATTTCATATCTCAATCTCAACCTTACCCCTCTCATCCACATATCCAATCTATCCACTATCCATCTCTATTTCCCAAACAATCAACACATCCCTCGCCCCCATCCCTCCTCAAATTCTTTCCCTCCCGTTTCTCACCCTCCTACTTCTCACCCTCCTAATTTACGAATTTTCAAAAATATTTAAATTCATTAATATCTTTCAATATCCCATCTTATTCTACTCTATCTCTCTAAACCCACTCAGAAACCTTATTCTAAGAGATTATAGATTATAATAAATTTATGAATAATAATAATCTTATATATTAATTTCATTTTCGAAAGCCGAAATAAAGTATATATGAGAAGTGAAAAAAGGGAGATATATAAAGATAAATATAAATAAAAGAAAGAAAATACTTTACTAGTATAATATTTTAAGTAGATACTTCGAATATCCTAAAGAACGAAGAATATATATTTTTACAAGATCGAGAATGTATATATATATATATATATACCTAGGTACTTAATAAACAATTACGAAAAAAAACTTGAGGTTTTATTTAACATAAAATATATAATAAAATGAATAAATAAATAAATAATATACAGATCTAATAATAATATATTATACTTTACAATTTCTCGATAATTCTCTCCTTACTCAAAAAGGAGAAGAGAAATAAGAGAGAAATAAATAAATAAATAGTATTAAATACTCTCTACTAATAAAATATACTATTTATTCTCGTATTTAGAATTCTTATCTATAGGTATACTTAAGTCTCTTCCCAACTTCAGTCTCTTCAATTTCATATTTTCTAATCTCTGAAATTCAAGATTATTACATATCTAGGTACATATCTATATACATATATATTATAACAATCCTAGCGATTAATCTATATAGCTCAAACGATGCTGATGTTTATTACGACGGGGTATATTCAGGCCTTTGAGTTTATAGTATATAGTTTTTATTTAATAATCAGATATATATCAGTATACTAATAGGAGTTGTATATATTTAGGTAGATAGGTAATCTTCATCAAGTATTAAATTACCGATACTACGAAGTCCAATTGCGATTACGCAACGCGGCCCTTGTGCGATTAATAGGTTATTCATTTGATTGAATTTTGTTAGGGGAAGCGATATTGGTGATATTATTAATATTGTCAGCAACGTTTCTTTAGTTTCGGACACAAACATGATGATGCGGTATCATTCTGTCTACCATTGAGTAAGATTTGGGTTAACAAAGCTGACGCTCCCGGGGCTGAGCAGTCTCAATAGCGATATGTACGCACAACCTGTGGATTCGCTGTCTCGGTAGTTTTCCGTAGCTGACAGGCGGGCGGTTAAGCTAGAGATGGATGATTGGTGCATATTGTTCGATAAATTGAGATATAAGCAGCTGTGTTATTGTGATTATATGTTACATCTTTAGGTATCTATATAGGCAGAACTTATATAGTTAAGTGGACAGTAACTCTAGATCTGTATTTTTATATCGAGTATTGAGTATTGATTATACCTAAACACGACATATCACCCCTCACAATGGACCCCCAAACCACAGCATCTACATCTACAAGTGAAATTCCGACGCCCACCCACAGTCGAGAGCACAAGCTCGTGCGCGAATTTCGCACCCATTGGAGCACCTCAACCGACGACAACGAACTGAGTCTCTTCAGTTTCCGACGCTTCCGGACGAGCCATCTCATCAACCTACGATTTCTGGAAGACGAGATTGCGAAAGTCGATCGCGAGATTTATCAGGCGGGGCTGCAGATGGGGATTGATGCGCAGAGAAAAGATCTCTTGGGGTTGCGGTCGGCGAGGAGAGATGCGGATGTCGCGCCTATTGAGGAGACGATTACGCAGGAGAACGTAAGGAAATTGAGACGCTTGTTGAGGGAATATGGTGAGTGGAATTCGAATTGGCGCGCGCTATTCTGTGCTATGCTATGGTGTCACATGGTATAATCGTAGTAATTTCTGGCACAATTTTTCCTAATATGGCAATCTTGCATGTACATTGTAGATGAAGCGATCCTCAACTTCAACAATATATCGCGCTTGCAAACGATCGCGCTTTCAGACTGCGGTAGGCTCTCCGCCATCCGAGACGATATCACTATAAAAGAAATGTACAAGACGCGACTCATGCGTGTGGATCTCGCGCCTGCGGATTCGGATCCCATACGCAGAGCGCTGCACCGATGTCTGCGCAAATTCTGGTACGCGAAGCGTGTAAATTTTCCTAATCTTGAGAGTTTGGAGAGAAGTCCCATGACTTCTGGCGTCTCCCAAAGATATCAGAATACGATTACGATTGCTGATATCATGGCGCGGTTTCTGTTTGCGTGTGTGGCGGGTGCGTCGCTGGTTTTCCCTTTGGTTATTTTGTCGTATCAGGAGAGGTTGCATACGAGGTTGTTGACGATTTCACTGTGTATTATTGTTTTTGCCATTGTAGTTTCTTTGGCGGCGCCTGCGTCGAATCAGGCTGTTATGGGTACGGCGGCGGCTTATGCTGCGGTTCTGTCGGTTTATGTGTCTACTTCGTAGATGTGTGCAAGTAGAAGTTTTGTCCCAGGAGTGTAGGGCTGGGAGTAATTAGTAGCATGTATAAGGCAGATACCGTTGAGTATTGTTATTTGACTCCTTTGAGGGTGTATCAAACTCGGAGTAGCTCCACACCAAACCTGTTTTGATATGTTCATTGATGGATGTTCTTCATTTCGTCTGAAATCTCATTCCTCCGGAACTTAGCTACTGATATTATTTATAGGTTTAATTATCCAAAGAATTCCAGGCTCTTCTTTGAATCTCTGTTGTTGCCCCAATGTACAGTTCCGAGGGATTGTTTCTAGCCAGTGCCCAAAATGCGTCTAAGCTAGCACAATTCAAGTGCTCAACCATAGGATACAATTCTGTCCACACCAATTGATCTATGATCTTGAAAGCACCATTATATCCTTCTATCAGATTGGAAGCAGGATCAAAGTCTGCCGAGACAACATTGAGAAAGCCACGGTTGCTGCTCCCTGGTGTAGAACTAAATGATAAGAAAGACGCAGAGTCGACAACGAGGAAAGTTTTCGTGGATAAATTAGCCGGAATACTTTTTGAAGCTACCATGTTTTGGAAGTGTCTGCAAGTTTGTCAGCTTCAGTCGCAAGTGTAAGGGAAGGCCATCATACTCTCTAGCATCTGCAAAGTCGTCCTCGAATATACTTTCATCGAGACCCTCTATCCAATGTAATGTCACTTTTTGCCTCACATTATCAACTCCCATCATACCTTCCCATGCACTATCTAACCCTACTTCCAGTCTAGCAAGAAAGTTTTTCCATTGTTTCTCGTTTTGACCCTTACTCATTTTGTAGATGACATATCCAAATTTATCAAAGCTACCCAATTCTCTTACCCAATCTTCCTCTTCTACTTTCGAAGGGTTCAATATTTGTGGCTGTGCTGTTTGGTGCGCGTCTGCTTTAACTAAAATGTCCCATACGGGTTGTAGAGCTTTCTGCTTTTGTCCAAATGAAGAATGATTATCATTTGTGGATCTCATCTCAGCGGTCTCTTTTATTTTTCGTTGATAGTCTATCAGAAAGTCATCTCTTCTAGCATTTTGGATACTCTCATATATTGCGTTATTTCTTTTCCACGAGTTTTCATCTTCACTCAGTAACCCAGTCACATTGCCTGGTTCATGTCGATATACGAACCCGACAGTATGCGGTACAACATGGAACTCGGTTTCGATATAGAGATCGAGTATACTGTTTAGAACACGATAGTGATGTTGAGAAATGAGGGGAGTCTCAGCTTCGCCAACAATAAATCTCGATTGATCGAAAAAATTGGAACGGGTCGCGTTGTAATGAGGGAGTAAGTTTGTGAATATAAAGCTGCGGGATTGGAAAGCCATGTTTTCGAAGAGATATGATTGGATGTATTCTTGCCACAGAGCCGGCAAATCGTAAACTGGTTTAGGTCTCCCATTTGAAACTTCCAGTGCGTCTAATACATCTTGAAGAATGTCAAACTCGAACCATATATGGTTATATATATCTCGTAGTCGACCTTGCACACGAGGAGTATGAAGATATTCAAATACGTCTACTATGAGCTGTATTTGAGAGAGAGCCACATCGATATTCTCTGGTTTAGAGAGGCCCATGGACTCCCACCGAGCAGGAGGAATTGGTGACATACCATGCCAAATCTAGAGAAAATTAGTCCACTGTGATTGTTCAAAATGTTCAGGTAGAAAAACTATATTAAAATGGAGGTGACTACTCTTTTCTTCATCATGTCCAAATTCCGTTCAATGCTCAGTGAATCTAGTGCAGCACGCAAAATATCGCTCATCCCAGATGCAGCCATCATGATTCTAGCCAAAGGCGGTGCAGTGGAGAGAGTTGCAGACACCCTCTCCGAGCCAAGTTGGGTTTTATAAGGTTCTGGCGCCCATTCAACGTAACTGGTCGACAAATATTTCACTACCTCCTCAGGCATGAGAGGTAGTACGGTTTTTCGGTTTCCGGGCATGATACCAGACTTGGCAGCGCTGAGAAAATCCGTAACCGTATGGATCTCAAAAGGCGAGATAACTGCAACATGGCCTGGGGGAGTTGGAGGCAAGGAAGGAAGAGCTAGATACAGAGATACAACGATTGTGAGGATCATTGTTAGGAAAACTTTGGAGCAACATCCGCATGTACACCATCCTTTCTTCGTTCTCATTGGAGGTGCTCCCGCTGCGAGCAGAGGCTCCAGAGGTGCAGGAGACATGTTGTGAGCTGGAGTTTTTTGCACAAGAGTGTATTTAGGGTAATCTCCTCAAGTTTTGGAATAAAATATCCTAGCATGGTGTTTGCGTACTGACACGTGACTTATTCACTGCCATCACATCGAAATCTACAAGTATACCTAGACCATTTGACATTGAGCTTGCAGAACGCGCTTCCTTGAGACAGCTCCTAATATAGTGACGATGAACAACACCATATCTGATAGACAATCCCACCCCGCAACTTGAGGCTGGAGAATTATGCCATGTCTCACCGCTGTTAAGGTTACACGACCACGCTCGAGCTACCTTGGTACCAAAACAGCTTCACCAAACACTTTTATAATCCAATTATTTCTGTTCAACTTCTTTTCAAAGATATGATTATACCTAGGTAATGATATGAATGATTAAAACCTGATATTGTACTTCACACTTTTGAATCGAGTTCCTTTGTTCGTAATTGATTCGTTAAAGTATCTTGATTGTTTGTGTGAGGTGGTCGAATTCGGTCTGTTTTTTCTCCTCCGAACAGCGAGCTGAGCTGAAACCTCAAGCTCTTGCACTGCGGGACTGCGTTTGCTGGTCCGGGAGCTGTCGATCTTCTAGACCAAACCTTAAGCCTAGTGGAACTTAAATATTACTTCATCTCTCATTCTTCACGTCATCCAGACACGTTGAGTTGATCGTAAAGATTAATACAACCATCAACTATCAATCACTTCCTCCAATCCATCAAACAAACTCTCATTTACGTACTAAACATCATCAAATCAGCAGCTCTAAATACTCCAAGATGCGCGGTCGTGTCCTCCTCACCATCTCTGCTTTCGGCCAAGGCGTTACACCCTTCATCGCAGATTGGAACCACACCCACATTTACAATCCCCGCTGGCCCCCTCATGCCAAATTCCACAATGGACAAACCATGTCTTTGGGCGCACTACTTGGTCTCGTTACCTTATACTATACCTGGCGCTTCCCACGTATCCCAACTCCGAAGTCCAAATCGAAGGTAGAGAAGAAACAGACGCCAGAATCATCAGAGTCAGTGTGGGTGCGAAAGATGACTCGGGATAGTATGATCACAGCTGCGATTGCGGGGAGTTTGTATTGGATCGCGGGGTTGTCTGCGATATTATATCCGGGAAGTAAGGCGATGGACCCAGAATTTGGGGATTCGGCTCCGCAGATGATCATCTTTCCGTTTTTTATGGGGATGGCTATTTTAGGAGCCTGGTTTGAAGTCAAGGATCTGGAAAAGGCGTAATGGTACAGAGATTATGCTAGGGAGGAGTGGTCAAGCGGCGAAAGAGAAGGAAACTCTTAAAATTGAGGAGAATGACGCCAACATCTTTGGAGTTGGAGTTAAAGGTTCTAAGCTGGTTTGGATATCGGAATGGGTGCAGTCATAACAACTTCAAGCGGGTTAGGATTTGGGGAAGGGGGGAAAGGACACGACAAATGATTTTCATGAGATATCAGCTACGAGGGAAAGAACGATGAAAATGATGGAATGCTTTAATGTATGTGAAATTAAATGAGTTTATATTCTCCAGGGCATTAATTCCCAAATCATGGAATTGCTGGTAAAATAACTTCTCCGTCTTTTGGCTGCACATTCAACTGACCATCTTCACGCCACGGTGCCTGATGTTTCTCAGCAAACTGCCTTATATCATCAAAATTCTTGCATTTGTGATCACGGTTGAAGTCCGGATATAAGTGAACACGATCTCCAGACTTTGCCCACAAGAAAGGATGTGCTCCTGTATCGGCTGAACACATTAAACTTTGGCGGACGGTGTCTAGACAGTGGTCTATTGTGGTTGTTAGTAATTGATTCCAGGCAATAGTGCTAATATGCATACTTATATGTGCTTTCAAGATATATTCTTCATTCTTGAATGGGCCTTCTCCGAGATTGTGGTAGTACTCAGAGTTGTAATAGAGCCCTTGTCGGAGAAGATTCTACGTATTGTCAGCTTCCGTGTCCGTTTATGATCTCCAGCTTTGCAAGCAAGTGCTATCTAGAATTGGAAGTCTTACCAGACAATGTAATTGATGCATCACCTCAACTATAGCAGGATAGCCAGGACCTCCATCTTTCTCATCTACTCGGAAATGATCAAGTGATATTCCGGCTTTGGGAGCATCTTCTGGTGGGATAATTATTGCCTTATCTATTCATGTGTGTCAGCATCAGAATTTGTCTTGTTTGGAGGATGAGACTGTCAACATACATTTTGTTCCAAGATTGTACCAAGCTTCATCAACTTCTGGGCTAGGTTCTTCTCTGTATATAGTGTTGGTGAACAGTGAGCCATTGAATCTAACAGTTTCGTATTCAATGTCAATGTTATCGAGGATGGGACCTGTTAGAGTCAGTTCATTCGTCTTTTTTTTCCAAAGATAAAGTTTTGGTAACTAACTCCAAGTTTGACTTGTATGCTTAGCACATACTTGGTCCAGATTTCTGGGGACTCGATGTGTGGTGAGATATGTTGCAGTATTTGTGAGCAGTGTAACGACAACTATACATGAAATCCAGAAACAAGTCTGCGTTTTTGAGCATTTCGTGGCTCTAGGGTTGTCTAAAGTTGATCTATGAGATTTCTCAGTCGCCGTGTATTCATTTTCCAAATCAGTAAGAAATGGTACACTTGACTCATCCGAATGTCCCATGATTTCCCTTGATTAAACTCAAAAATTGAAGCGTGAGTTTGAATGTAGGTAGTACTACTTCTCTGTCTTGTTAAACTGGGAAGTTGTTGAAGATTTCGCAAACAGCCATTTGAAGAACCGAATACCGAAAGTCCCTCACCAACCCCCACCCGTCTTGCCCCTCAACGATTCCAAGAAATATCACTATCTACCTTCCAATTCTAGCATGATAAGCCCGTAGTTAGCAACCAGGTCTCCGACCGACCCATCGTAAGCACTAAAATGATCTGATCTTCAAGTACTTCCAGAACGTCGCTCTTGATAAGAACACGAAAGATCGACATACTCATATTCTGTACCAATAGGTTCCGAATGAAGCAAGATACGTTGATTTACACGCACAAGCTTTCAGTGGCTTTGGATCGTGCATGCATATTGTGGGTTGAAGGATCGCCAAGGCTGATGCCTCCTTCCCCTTTTAGTTAAGACAGAAGCGAGCCCCGCATGACACCTCAACTCGTGGCATTTGCGGATATAATGTGGGTCTAACTATAGGTATTAACGGCTCCTCGGGTATACTCAAGTTTTACGATAAGTAACTATATACGATATACGAAAGCGATATCTCACCATTGAAGATTTTCTGCAAGGCGACAAATCATTGGTCTAGTGACAGGGTTACAAGATAATTCAGGAATGGACAAGGGTGCATCAAGGTTGTTCAGTTACATTATATTCTTCATTTAGACATAAATTCATCAAAGACGATCCTCCAAGCCCCGCCTTCTATGGCAAAAACACACCCCCGGCTTCTTTTCTCGGAGCCAAGATTATTCTATTGCACAGCATAGAACCAGTTGGTCGCCGCTTCTTCTGGCTCGGCATCCTTCTTCTGAACAGCGTAGAAAATGTTGGAAGCCTCTTCTGGCACAGCATCCCGCTTTTGTACAGCATAAAACCAGTTGGTCGCCGCTTCTTCTGGCTCGGCATCCTTCTTCTGAACAGCATAAAAAATGTTGGAAGCCTCTTCTGGCACAGCATCCCGCTTTTGTACAGCATAAAACCAGTTGGTTGCAGCTTCTTCTGGCTCAGCATCTTTCTTCTGAACAGCATAGAAAATGTTGGAAGCTTCCTCTGGTATGGCATCTCGTTTCTGAACGGCATAGAAGAAATTTGTAGCTTCTTCTGGTGCAGCATCCTTCTTCTGAACAGCATAGAAAATGTTGGAAGCTTCTTCGGGCACAGCATCCTTCTTCTGGACAGCATAGAAATAGTTGGTAGCTTCTTCTGCTGGTGCTGCATCCCGTTTCGCCTCTACGGCTGATTCGATACCATGTGCTTCTCTTGTATCTGCCATCGATGTTAATACGAATTATCTATCAATAGAGTTAAAGTGAACTACATACCAACTGGAGTAGGGAGAGCAATTGCTACACCGAGCAAGCTCAAAGCTGTTAATGCATATGTGACCTTCATGATGACGGGATGTTTTGGTGATGCTTGAGTGAAAGACGAAGTGAGAGTAATACGTGTAGAAGGCCTGAATTCCTCTTATTCAAGAGGAATCGGAAACCATATATAACACTATCTTCAACACAGTATTACCTAAGGATATCTGAAGCACTTTTGACCTCCTTCCTAATCCGTGGAAGTGGGATATTTTCTAGGGTGTAGTTGCAGGTGCATATTCAAAGGATTCAATTCCCAGATACAGTTTGTCAACATAACGCTTGTGCATCATGCAGGGGAAAGATTTCTGCACGAATAATTGTCAGTGACTATATCCGCACGAACCTCCCAATGAAGTTTGAGAGTCTAGCATTGGCTGCATTATCTTCCCTTTTCGGCTGGTCATCACTATCTTTCTGTAGCAGTTGACGTCAGATTACCAAGAACATTTCGGGAAACACGGAAGAATCGCACTCTCCTGTTCACACAACTTTGTCTCATCATTTTTTCTACCTCGAAGATCTCTGGAAAATATACATCTTCTGGTCGTGGAAAAGCCGAAGGAGCAAACAACTACCATGGAATCTAAACATGTGCGATATGATCAGCTCCCATTTGAAGAAGGTTCCAGTCCATCGGAGACAAGAAAAACCACCTCAACTACCAGAAGACTAATTCAAGGTCTTTTGTGTGCAGCTGTCCTAACATCAATCATCATCGGTACCTTCTGGATATGGTCTCAAAAACACCCCAATCTACCTCAATACATCGATTGCGGCTCCTCAGTCGAAGAAGCGCTCTCCAAAAACTGTGTCATGGAACCCATGATCTACGGCTGGATACCACGTGAATGTTACTTCTCCGATCTCAGTTCTCAATATTCTCCCTTTGAAGACAGAGAGTGGTATACAGACGACACCTACACCGTGCAAGTACCCCCTGCAGACCTATGGGCGGGAAAGAACAAACACGTTTTTACGCACAAGTATCACTCGACGCATTGTTTTTTTCTCTGGAGGAAATTGGCACTGGGGATTGCGAGGAGAGCAGATTATTTGGACGACAAGAGTTTGGATTTGGAACATTCGGATCATTGTTCGGAGGTTTTGGATCATTATGGAGGGGAAACTAATAATTCGACGAATGATGTTGTGATGGGATTTCATAGGTGTGAGAGATTGGCTTGGGTGTAGGAATGACGTGAAAAGAGACTTTGGGGAGAAAAAGGAGATCTTGCGATGTTGTTGCAGGATGAAAGCTTGAGACTTTTGATTGGATTATTTACATCCGCATTGAATTCAGGGTGAATGAAAAATTGATATTTATTCCTTTGGAGATGAAGTTAAAGTTCTCTAAAAATAGAGTGCTCATGATTCAACAGTATTGTCTTTCCAACAAATTACCATGCACTAGCAGTTCATCACAAACGCTAGAAGAGAGAGAGAGAAGTGGGAGATCGGTACATTGCGCGCATATGGAATTCGCGTGCTCAATTAGCTCTGAAGTTATCTAACTTCTGCACCCCCAACAACACATTCCTTCTCCAAAACCGATTGAGTAACACTATCACGTGAGATATCAACCTCATCCTTAGGAATTGATGACCGGCGTTGACATAGCTGCTCTCAACTCCTCAGGATCCGGAAAATATCCCGATCTAACCAACAAGTCAAATTTCTCTCTATCTTCCAAATGGCCACAAGCCTCCAAAAAGTCCTCCGGAATATATTTCCTAATCAACTCCGCCATATTATCACCTCTAGCACAACGAACATATGCACAAAAATCCAATGTTCCAGGCCACAGATCCATTCCGGGAGGATAGTAACCAGCGAATTCCCAATCTATCAAAGCTTTAGGTTGGAGAGTTTCCGTGTCTATAAGAAGATTATGGGCTGCTAGATCTCCATGTTGGAATACGTATTCGGGAGTTGCGAGCGGGAGAGTCTTCCACGGTTCTTTTCTTCCTTTCCATGGTTCTTGCGTATCGATGGGTAACCAAGCAGGAGGCATAACGAAACCGTCAATACCTCTTGTGTGGGATTTCATAGTTGAAAGTTGTGGCAATACAGTATTTTCTACAAAGTTTATGGCGTTGGAATATGCTCTACGCACACAAGTATCGCAAGAAGATTCTTCTGTATGTTTTTTGTCAGCTGTTACTAGGCAGCCTAACTCATGCAATTTGTTGAGACCAATGCCGCTGATGAGTTCCGTCACAAGGTATCGTGTACCGTCTGAATTAATGCCATAATCGAGAAGACGCGGAACGGGAATTGTTGTTTGCTGTGAAACCAATTTCAAAGCGTTGACTTCGTTGGTGATGCGGTCGTGATTGAACAATCTCTTGCATTCAATTGGATGATCTTTTAAGTCCATATAGACCCAAGGAAACCGTGATGTTTTCCTGAACATGGTGGGTGTGAAATCATATCTAACATTCCAGGTTTCTAGCCGGCGAACGACGTCTGCATCGTTAAAGATTGGGAACTCTGGGGGTTGTGACTGCTCGTTGATATGGGGTGTCGACTTCATGCTATCAGTTGAATTGCTCATTTTTGCTAATGTAAGTTAAATTCAATTTTCTGATCAGCAATGCTACTACTTAGTAGATCAGAGTGTGTAAAGATCAGAGATTATATATGAAGGAAACCAGCTAGAAGAATAGGTATGTACTCAGAAAGGGGTGTCAGTACGGCAGCGCAATAGTTACCACCAGCCGTATCAAACGCTGCCCAGCACATCTTAATACATGATGAACTGTACAAGAGAAAGTTAGCAACTCCCAAGAGACCTACGATATAATTGATCATACTCTGTTATGCATTGCTATGACAGAATATTCTGATCAAACTATCAGGGTCAAGCAGCCGAGAGTCCCCGTAACCATATTTCTGCTACTTGTCCATTCCAGCAGTATATGTACGGCAAAATTGCGTTGATTACCCAGTCTAGGAAGTTTGAAGGGTATTGTATGAAAAATCATATGCAAACTCAGATCGGCTAAACCTTTCGTAATGATGCAAAATAATCAAATCAAACTCAAAATCCCAAAGCTTTTCGAAGAAGAGAATCCAAAATCTAGTCAACATGTACACTTGCGTTGACAGACATGATAATTCGACAACCCTGACTATTTCTCTCGCCTATATTGACGATTTCATGCCACTTCACAGACTAAACTCAAAGTGACAACAGATGCTCTCGCGATCAAAGTAAATCAACACTGCAATCAATGCATTTGTTCCATTCCTGTAATGTACTCCCGAAATCCCAAAAACAAACAGGTATCAACGCCCCAAACACCTCATTCATAAGCACATTTAAAGCCCGGATATCCAGCAATAACTAACAAACACTTTATCTAACACACATGCAAAATTTCCTCGCCTCTTCCGTTCTCCTTTCCATGAAATCTCAAGCCCATTACATGCCCAAAAGACCAGCGACCAGCACCGCCCCCCCAAACGTGATCCATCCCACAGTCGTAACATCCGCCGCACTTGAGCCCGTAGCCGACGCCGACGCCGCAGTACCCGTTGCACTACTAGCTCCCGCTGAGCTACTTGTCCCAGAACCCGATTCTGCTTTCAATGGAGCGAGCGTGCCTCCCACAATGCCTTTTGGGTTTGTTGTGGCATCACTATCTAGTGCTTTTGCTGCGAGTGAGAATTTTGCTAGGGTTTTTTTGTTGTCGGTTCTGAGTCGTGTTAGTGTGAGATAATGTATATTTGGTATTTAGATGGTGAAGAAGGGATAGGAAAGAGGAATAACACTTACGTATTCACATTAACAGCTCCTACCATTCCACCCTCACAATGTCCGGGATATCCACAGTAGAACCAGATCGGTTTCGTGTCATTTACAAGCACGCTAAAGACGGAGGCGTTGGCTTCGGTGCCAGTGGTAGCGATTGGGCCAGAGAAGAAACCTGAGCCCTTACAGGGCGATGCAAATGCTGCTTGGGCAACCGAATGCGTCTTGGCATAGAAATGGAACTCAAGAGTTGTGTTTACGTCAGCCTTGGTTTCGTTGGGAGAAAAGGTAAGTTGGCCGCCGGCGCCAACGAGAATAGTGTGGGTTGGGTCGGAAGGAGAAGTGCTTGTGGTGCTGGATGGAGTCACCACACTGGATGCAGAACTGGCATCTGCGGCTCCGTATGCAGCATAGGTGAAGGGGAGAGCTCCGAGGAGAAAAGTAATTTTGCTGAATTGCATGGTGAATTATTATTAACTATTCGCGATATGGAAACAAAAGATTATCTATTGATTGTATGATCAAAAGAAGACGACAAAAAAAACAACTCTTGGGTTTGGATTTAATATAAAGCAGATCAAAATTGGAATGAGGGATGCGATTTAAACAACGGTAGCTATCGGTTTATATAACAATCATTCAACGCCTCTTTTTTTCGAATTTGCGAGAGACATGTTAAAAAAAGACGGTTCGCCATCCCATCATGGTATCATGGTATCCCAAGACTAGCATTCAATTGACATCCGAAACTAGCACGTCAACTTAGCCGCTCCATTCTGGTCCCGAAAGTACGACCCCAAGTTTCGGCTCTTTGTCACCAATCGAATTCGAAATATATTCAGCCTGCATATGCACCCCCGATAAAACAGAAAAAAGCAACACCCCCAGCCCTAGGGTTGACAGAACGTCATCTGATAAGCTCGGTTACTTTCATCCGACCCAGTTATCCAATCATATCAGGAGTTTAATGTAATCTAGCCCCAAGTAATGTTTGAGCCCCTGCATGGAGATCTATTCTAATCCCCTGCGCCAATTTCAAACGGAAATGGTTCAAGGTGGTTAATTTTAATGCGAGTCTGACAGTAGGTAGCAAGCTATTGCCGAGAGAAGTCCCTGACACCAAACTGTAGATGTGTGTAGGTGGCGCGGATATTGGAACGTGATCTGAGGAAGGCGCAGCAAATTGTGCCAGTTCAATGTTTGTTTTAATGTGTGCAGTGCTACGCTGTATCTCCATGCGATAGGGTGCCCTGAACGACGAACTTTTGAGCGCGGGAAAAAATTCGATAGGTTAATAAATTTATATGTTTTGGTGTAGGTGTCAGTATGCCTTCAAAGACTTCACCAGGTGTTTGCAATCAGATGAAATGTCAATATCGGTCTGATCTGTGTTGCCATCCCGTTTCGGGGCCGAAGTTTTTTGCAACTTGTGGATATTTTGCTTCTCTGGGCGTAAGCTGTTCGGCGGTTATACAGAAATTGACTTGGTGGTGTGACAGAACTTCTTGATACTCCAAGACTACTCAACTTGTTTGATAATGTAACAACTTTCCCATAAGACATGTTTGATTTCAGGGGTGAGATTAAATATGAAACATGGTTAAGTAACCATTCGATAAGCATCGAACATGTGTCGCCATGCTCTGTTAATCTTGTACCCTGATCGTCTCAGGATCCATAATGTTGGGTGTTTTCATCCCATGTTAAAGGGGGAGTCATCGAAGCAGTATTTCGACGATCCTATGTTTGTCTTGTGTCTGTAATATTTCCAGCGGAACATCCAGTACATGATTCCAGTCGGGGCCCAGCATATTAGTGATAGCGCGAATATCACGATCTGCTAAGCCCTCGAGCCACCAAAGTCCAGAAACGAGTTTAATAAAGGACATATAGTACGCGCAGATAACCAGTGCTCTAGGCTGCTTGCTCTTTACTAAAGCTGTAAATTCGTTGGGCGTGAAAGATGGCCACGAGATTATACGAATGAACAAAGGTTCGCTAAGTTCATCTTGACGAAGACTTGCATAAAGGTTGCCTAGAGCATCCAAAGTTCCGCAATATACCTGCAGGTTCTCAAAATCTTGATCGTCAGGATCCATATGTAGCATATGCAACAGGGCAGATGGGACCAACGGAGTAGCGAGCAGATCATTCAAATTTCGGACGAACAGCGGACCAACAGATGTAGTGTTGCTTACACCTCCATCTGGGGTTTTCATCGAAACGATAATACGCAATCCGCTATATAAACCCATCCAGCTTGCTACCGTGAGCTCATCGTTATCACCCCGGTCTCCCGAGGCAAGCACTACAAGAAGTAATGCCATTACAAGAACTGCTTCGTAATTCTTCGAGTCCTTGGTAACGGTCGCTAATGCAGCGCGATAATCACGAAATGCCTTTCCACGATAAAGAGCTGTTTGCCGTTTATGTTCTTCGTTTTGTGGAAGTAGATGCTGATTGTGGAGAGATGCTAGCCCCAACATCCCATTCAATAAAAATGAGTTGTCAAAGGCAAGAGATGGAACAATCACTTTCATTACATGGCATGCTCCGGGTCCGAGAGCCACGATTGGTCCCGTATATGTAGAATAATGATGCACCATACGTAGATCCATCACGGAAAGTACTCCGGTGGCTGTAGGCAATGGCGGGAATGGTGCATTTCTGAGGTCCCAGGAGAGCTCGACTGATTGAACAGGCCGATCATGAGTACTAGATTGTACCAAAGAGGTAGTTTGGTTGTGTCCCGTTGGAACAGTAGCATCATTCACTTTGGCGACCTTTTGTATGTACTGACAAGAAAGCTTTCTGATCTCACAAAACGAACATTTTGGTTTAGCTTCATCACACTTGGTTGATAATCAGTGAGCATAAACCGTAAATTGGGTAAATTTTGGATATACCTTGATCTTTTTTGTCTTGCAGGTTTGGCATCCGGCCCTCGACTTCTTATGGGGCCTTTTTGTTGTAAAAACAGCCGCCATCTCGATTTTGCGTTTAGGGAGTTCTTCAAAACTCGAAGTGTCCAGGAGTAGATGCTTAGTTCGAGAATATTGACATCTAGCTAATCGATGTTTATTAGAGTAAGACACAAAAAGGTCGAATCATAGTAATTAAGGTTGCATTCACTTGACAGCTAGCAGATAGTGTGAAATCCGCTACTGTGACAGCGACTTGGAGTAAATTATAAGGTAGTTTGGTGCTCAACAACCAGGGGAAATTCGGAGGCTAGTCGAATTCTAATTTGATATTGGAATGTTAACTCGGCAAGTTTATTGAACAAGACCTTTATCGACTTTCAGAGGAGGCAGCCACTGCACTTGTCGTTCTCTCGAGGTTCTGTAGAAGTTTTCCTCTAAACACGTGCAAATTTGTGAGCACTGGGTATTGATTCAAGAAATAGTGAATTGATACAACAACATACAACATAAAAACCCAGAACACAGAACACAGAAAGTATTGGATGGATGTGGAAAAGTATGGAAAAGGGAAAAGGGAAAAAAGTGGAATAAAAGGCTTGGAAGTTTATCATCACATTTTGGAGCCTTCTTGCTTTGGGGACCCTCGGATCCTTGAAGGCTTGGAACTATTTCAGGAATTGGTACTGGGCAGAATGTTCGGGTAAAAGTCGGTAATATGTCAACTCCCGTCTTAGCCTTGGAGCCTACAGCCTTGCAAGAGGTGCTAGCCGACCCACTCACGTGTTGACGCGCCTTGGTATCCATGCCGTCTACTCAAGTACGGACCTTGTGCTAATAATAAGTGCTTTCATTTCAGCCTTGCGGTAATTCTCTAGCTACCTACCTATAGATTGTTGTCCGCAAGAAGCAAGATAATAACAGAATGGTCGCTCTGTTTACCTTACCAAATGAATTGGTCCTTTTTTCATTAGCATCTCAATTTCCGTGTAGAGAACAGCAGATTCGCTCTCTAACCACTTTACTCTCTGTAAGTCTATCCTTCCTTTGCTTCACAGCTGTACATCCGAATGTCAACTTACCAGTTTCTCAAGATACAAGCGGCTCCAAGCAGAAACATTGTACTTCATGGGCTTGAAGCAACTGGCAAGTCTACAATAACGAAAGCTGTCCTTGAAGCACTATCGACCCATTCCCCGGCAAACAATAGCTCTCCCGAAGAGCATTTCAACAATGAATTACAATATGCCATAATCAAAAGCGCAGAATGCATATCTGGAAGGCATTTGTTGGAACAAACTATAGGAGCTGTCGCGAATGCGGTAGAATGGAAGGAAAACATACCGAGATGTGAGAATCTCGCACAATTAGTAGTGGAGGTAGGAAAATTGCTCGAAGGTTGGACCGCAACAAATGAGGCACAAGCTGCAAAACAAAGATTCGTTCTTGTTTTTGATGGCGTTGATAGACAGAGAGAAGCTCCTCCTACTATGCTGCCAGCATTGGCCCGAATGGGTGAGATTGTACGTTTGATCCCAACCTCAATCAATGCAGTCTATATTCTAACAACCGTAGATACCCAATCTTACCACGATTTTCATCACTACAATACCTCGACCTAGCTTTTTCCACCTCCCTGGAATTCCTCATATTCAATTCCCATCATACACTAAACCAGAGCTTGTGACGATTCTCTCGCGAACTTGCAAACCCTCTCCTAGACTTCCCGACGGTTCCAAAGAAACGTCTTCTATTTGGGAAAGGTTCCTTCCCACAACTTATGACTCCCTTTCTAAATACTCAGGACGAGACCTTGTTTCGTTTCGCGAGATCTGCCTTCAACTATGGCCTACCTTTATCCAACCAATAATCAATGGGACATATACGTCGAACGAATTCTCTCGCCTTCTCATCGCAAATCGTGCACTTCTCCAAAATGATACACTTCTCACACCATCTGTTCTTGCTCCTATTACGTCTATTTCCGTTGCCAAAAATGGAACTTCTAACACAAGCACCGCTCAGCTTCGAGCCCAAAACAACATCACAACCCATCTCCCGTATCACACTCGTCTTCTACTCATCGCTTCCTATCTTGCTTCTCACAACCCCCCTCGCACAGATCAACATCATTTCCTCCAACAAACTGCAACCAAGCGTAAAAAGCGCGGTGGTGGTACGGCTCTCACCGCTTCCACCTCTCGACCCGGCGTCTCTAAATCACGCAAGATTCCTCGCAAACTACTTGGGCCCCAGGCATTTCTGCTGGAAAGAATGATCGCTATCTACCATGTGTTACTCGAAGATGCCGATGGTCGAGGACGCTATTCGGCTACAAGTGGGAATTTAAAAAGGAAAACCAAAGGACTAGGCGCTGGAGAAGCGGACATACAAATGGCTGTTGCGACACTAGCTAGCTTACGCTTGATCGCTAAAATGGGGAGTGCAAATGCGGCAGATACTTTGGATGGAGGAAGTAGATGGAGAGTTGCGGTGGGATGGGAGGTAGTCAGGGGGATTGCCAGGAGCGTAGGAGTTGAGGCAGAGGACTATCTGGCAGAATAAATGCCGACTTGGATTTTGAAATAAGAAGTCAACTAAAAGAGCGCCATCATACGCATTTGAAAAAGTCCCACGAAAACCTCAATATGTAGGCAACCGAGACGATATTTCATACTGGACCTTGAAGAAAGTAGGTACGGCACTAATGTCAATCACCCGCTTGGAAAACCTCGTCAAAGACAGCGGCCTTTCGTGCACATTCACCTACATTCCTTTGTCTATGGTGATATCTCTGCCATCGCCGCCTACCTCATGAAGACCCCCAAGATAAATATCTCAAGGTTTCGCTTTTACTTATCATTGAGAGATATTTGGCAACTTGGGGGAGAGCGAAAGGTTACGATTGGGATGAGTCAATATGGAAATTTAGGCTGTATGGATAGATGACCATAGCTACAGCCGCCCAACACAGGACCTCAAACCAGAGATCTGATAAGTTGAATGCAACACATCAAGCAAAGAGACTTCAGATTGTGAAGAAGCTTGGTGTTTTACCTAGGATAGATACTTGAGGGAAAATGTAGACTGTGTCAATATGATACGTACTATGTAATATAATAGAATTTAAACTACCAGATCATACAAATTCCATGATTTGCTCTCTGCTGAAACAGGGTCCAAAGCTATTTGTTCGTATAACAGATGATCACAATATTTCTACCAAAGTAATACACAAGAAAGCTATAGGTACCTATGAAGCTATCCAGAATTCATCACATAGCTTGAAAATCATGGACAAAGTCTTTAAAGTAAAATCCACACAACACAAAACTAACACGTCAAAATTAATGATTCATTTCCATTTTCTCTTTTTATTCGTATACAAATACACGCAGTGCAGTACTACCACTCTTATCCAGTGACTAGTCATGTTTCCTTGGTATCAGAAAGAAAGAAAGACAGTAAAGCTTGAAACATCCTCAATAAGAGCCCTGTTTTGTTCAACTTCCATAGTCGCAAAAATCAACGCCCAGACGCTCCTCCTAGACATATTCCACCATTCTATGACAGATGGACTTGTAAGAAAAGAAAAACTACCAAGCTTCTCCGATTGAAGTCTTTTTGCTTGGTAGTTTTCAATAGTGCATGCCTTGCCATGCCATTCCCGTACTCCCATGTGAAGCCAAGCCAAGCCGACAAAAACGACCAAATGATGAAACTCATCGATCCAACTCAATTGAACGCCAATCATCAATATCAGTACCGCCATCAATTCCAATCAAAATGCTTTTCCACCAACTCCCTCACCGGCCAAAATCCTCAAATGAGTCTCACTTAACTCGCTTTTCAAGCCCATGCTTGCACTTTCTCGACTCAATCTATCCCAATGCTTCAATCCCTTCCTGAGTTTTTCTTGTTTCTGTTGAACTTCCTCTCTTAGAATATCCGCTTCCTCTTCCTTCTTCTTGAGACGAGCTGCGAGATCTGTGGGGATACCCGAAGCTGCTGGATCAATTCTTCCCCCAGGTATGATGGGCGGAATGCCTACCATTGCTGGGTGAATACGAGGACCCGATGATGGACCTGAAATAGAACCGCGGCTATGATATATACTGGAGGAATGTTGAAGAGAGGGGCGAGACGAAACTGAAGTGCCTGCGCGGGGACCTGTGGGTATACCGGAAGGGCCTGTTGGTGCAGCAGGTGGAGTTTCTCTTGCTGGAGAAGGAGAGACACTTGGTGGAGGACGGGGTGGTGGCAGATTCGTTCTTGAGTTTAAATCTGTGCTGGGTCGAGCTGGTGGTGCTGCTCCCCACGATGAGGTATCTGGACGACTGTGGCGCTCGGTGCTAAATGATGGCCGACCACCTCTCAATGAAGCGGAAGGGCCACGAGGTGGAGCGTAACCACGTGGGCCAGATGGAGGAGCGATGTGACCATTACCCTCTGAAGTACTATTAGATCTCGAATTATAGTTTGAAGAAGGACCAGATGGAATAGGCGCAGCGAAGTTGCGACCGCCACTAGGCCCGGTTGGGGCTCTAAAAGTTGCCGCTGGTCCTCTAGGAGGCGATCTTGGAGCTGTGGGACGAATTGGTGAGCGATCTTTCGAGGCAGATCTCTCCTGTTTTACTTGTCTGTATGCCAATCCTGAAGGTGATCGATCTCTGACAGGTACTGGAGAACGTATTGCTTCACGAGTCGCTGCTTGCGTTAAAGCTTGTCTGCTAGGGTGAACGGGCGGAGATGATCGACGAGAATTGGTGCCAGAACTTCTACCTGATGATCGTTCCGAATCACGAAGTGCTGGTGAAGGAGATCGACGCCTGATCGGGGATGGTGATCTTCGGCGTATAGGTGGTGAAGGTGAACGACGTCGCCATGTTTGCGAACTTGGACCGAGAGGAGTGCGAACATCTCTGGGGTCGCGACTGCGGGAGCGACGCCAGGAACCACCTCTTGGGCCTGGAGGCGGCGACCTTCGAGCAAGGGGAGATCTAGTTCTGATGGGGGATCTAGGTCGAAGAGGTGTGCGATTACGATCGAAAGGTGACCTTGAACGGCGTCTGAAGATTGTTAGGTTTGAACAATTTAAAATTGACGTAATGTGGACGATAATAGACTTTACCTTTCATCTCTTCTTGGTGACCTTAGTCGATCTCTGCGGTCATCATCTCGTCTAGGAGAAAATCTTCTTGGAGTTCTGGCTCTTATAGGAGTTCGACCTCCTCGAAGTGGAGATCGGGGTCTGCCACGCCAAGTCATATCTCGAGGTGGTGATCGGTCTCTTGCGCGATATGGTGGTGTCCTTGACCTACGCCTTGGAGAACGATCTCGTGCGCTAGGGTGATAACTGTCGCTGGACAAAGGTGGAGTTCGTCGATCTCTACGAGGTGACCTATCTCTGTCGCGATCGGATCTGAAAGTGTCGGCTCGTGGTGGTGAGCGTCGGTTATGATTAGGTCTATAAGATTCACCCGCTCCCAACCTTGTGACTTCGCCATCACCTCGGATATCCAATCTGCGATTTTTGTTCGTTAGCACTTCCTTTCTATTATTCGAAAAAGATCCCGCATTCCTCGGCCTTAGAGCAGCCTCGAAGTCCCAATTAGCCCTAATCGTGATGTTCTCAATATGCGACAAGTCGATTTCCTCTTCAGTTTTAACCGGTGTGTATGTTGCATCGTTGGGAATTTCAATTTTGACCATTGATTGATTATAGCTTGAACCAACATTTTTCTCGTTGCTGTCCTTGAGAGATTTTATATCACTAGTCTGCGAGCCCCCTCCGTTACTCAAGCTTCCATGGGTCTCAAAACGAGGACGAAGCTGGGCCTCATACCAAGCCAAATGACGAGTACGAGCCGCTCGATCACGCATAGCCCCAACTACAGCCTCAGACGATATGAGATATTTTCCTGTTCGCGCGTGACTGATGAAATAATCTTCTCGTAATGGCTTCTCCTTAGAGCATTTCTTGCTTTCTGGAAAGCCTCGACCGTTGAAGTGCTTTCTACAGGCGCAAATGTGGAAATCGCCAGCGCCGTGCGACCATGAACAATATTCGCGGGTTCTTTGAGCAAAGTAGTTGTGTGCGAATTGTATACTACTATTTATCCAATTCCATATAGCTTCTGGGTATTCTTCCGGGTCGTCTTCTGCGTCCATTCAAACAACGGTAGCTTTTGACCGATCTGCAAATAACGTATGCTGCGTGTTTGCTCTTGGAGGTTATGGATTTTGTATTGATATTGCAAGTTCCTTTAATGTTTACGGTGATCCGGCAATGATATATGCTTTCAATGTCGATATGCCATGTTGCTATCCGGATACTATATACATGTGAATAAAGTAAATAAGAACTAACCTTCTGTCTCGTCCTCTGTCCATCTTGAGCTCCTTGTTAAATGTCCCGTGAATATCCGTTCGAACTTTCCTCAGATGAGTTAAATATGCTTCAAATTTTGGTACTATATCGTCTCAAATCGTTGTTGCGTCATGTAAATAGTTGAACATTAAATGGCGTAGAGTGAATTAAGATGTGATGAATTATGTCGCAGTTTCCAAAGCTCCAAAAACAATTTCCAAGCTGTTGAAAACACTAGCGGCCGCTTTATCCCGAGCACGTTTATTTCACGTGCAGATGAGAGGATTGAGCAAGATATTGACTTCTTGCAGTCTTGTGTCGAGATCTGTTATACAATTGAATGCCAGGAACAATAAGTACAAAGAGTATCAATCGTAAAATCTATTTCACACACATTTCCATTGCCTTCCAGTATTCTGATATTACATACAAAAAGCACCAGTAGTGCCTTTGCCAACCTCCATTCAACGCCGCATTACATCTTTTCCATCTTAAAATCTGTATGACCTTTCCCTCTTCTCGCCTCGTTTTTCTTCATCTCTCTTTTGCTTCTTCCTGCTCTCTTGAGCAATCATATCACTTAAATCTTCATCATATTGCCAAGCTCCTCGTTCCTCTTTCTTCTGGGCCTCGAACCTTCGTTTTACTTCTTCCTTGCTTATACCATCCTCATTTTGCAAAGAATCTGGATCCAACGCAACATCTACATCTCCTGGCTTCTTCCTCTTTTTGGTATCTTCTTGTCCTAATACTGGTAAATGTGCATTTTGACCAGCGCGTACATCATAAGCTCTTTCACCGCCAAAGAAGCCTTCAGCGCGGATCTGGCGTTCAGGAATGACAGTATAAGCAGATCTTGGGTGTGTGGACTCTTCGGTCTCGGTTCCCCTCTTTTGCTTACGAAGATCAAAGTCTCCACCAACACTCATCTCACCAGGGTATTCCGAAGGTACAGTTGATGCCATACCACCTGGTGTTTCTGTACCACTGGGCGTTTGCAAACCACCAACGTCCTCCTCATCACCTTCCTCTTCTTCCTCATCGCTCTCTTCTTCTTCTTCAGACTCCTCTTCAGGTGCTTGTAATTCACCCCACAGTGTTCTCTCAATAGGTTCACCTGCTTGGTTGTTAACTTGTGGTTGAAGGACACCAAAGATATCTCCTCCATAAAGGGGTCGATTGAACTCATCAACGGGGGGTTTTCCATAACCACCAGGATGAAATCCCCATGCGCCACCTGGTGGAGGTGGTGCATTTAGCCCGGGAATCTTAAGTGAAGGATATGAAGGCGGTGGGCCGAAACGTTGTTGGTTGATCAACCATGGAGGCGGAGCTCCAGGCGGAATATTTAATGCGTCTTTGAGGTCGTCGCTCAACTCTCCAGGTCGCAAATGTCGTAGATTCGTCTCGTACTCCTTTCCCTCGTAGTAAACCTCGCCATAACGTGTTAGTTCCGGCTTTGTTTGAAACCGGAAGAAAGCTTCATACAACTTTTGATAATCAATATCCAATTTTCCCATCTTTGGCTGCACTCTTTCCCTTTGCTTCTGTTTTAAACTAGCTCCATCCTGTTTTTCCAACACAGCGTCACGCATTTCGGCGATACCAGTCTCCTGAATGAACTTCGGAAGAGAAAATGGAGCCTTCTCAACACCACGTTTCGATGATAAATACTCGCGCTTAAGGGACCAATGATTCGGCACTGGAACGACATTTCGGTATGATTTGATGTGGACAAGTAATCGAGGATCCGAAGCTGAGGTATCTGTCCAATCTACAAGCTCTGGCTTCCTTACAAGAGCCTTCAGTTCTGCAACAGAAAGCTTGTCTCTCTCCTTCCTCTTCTTTTTAGATAACTTGGGCTCTTTATCTGCTTCTTCGTCCTCGTCTGGAATTTCGTCATCACCATCGAAGAATACTTCACCTTTGTCGCCATTGTCTACATCTTTCGCAGCCTGGTCTTCTTCAGCAGTAGCACCAAATCTTTCCATAATATCCTTGAACATGGCGAAATTTGGATCATCTTCAGAAATGTTAAAGGCTGCAGCATCTGCCTCCAAAGGATCTTCATCGTTTTTGGCTTGCTCTTCGTCGTTCTTGATCGGTTTCTCGGTGGTTTCGGCAGGCTCAACTGTCTCGACTTTTGGTTCTGAATCTTTTGGAACATCTGCTTCTGGTGTTGGGGTCACCTAGAAAAATTGTTAATGAATGTAATTTCGATGATTTATTTAGACCAACCTGTGCTGCTTTCTTCTGCTCCTTCTTCTTTGCGCGCCGCATTTGATTTTTGGTCATTTTCGGCGCCATCTTTGCGACCTGGGGGGCCACAAGCCCAATTGACAAGATTGTGACTTAAATTCGTAAAAAGGTCTCTTCTTTGAGCTTCGTATCAATATATCTGGTATTTGGATTTTATGTAATAGCTCTGCGATTAAATAATTTGTCGACGGGAGATAAAACAAGAGCTCGTCGCGATGCTCGATGTAGGTATTATCGAAGAGAGTCAATATCAAATCGCGATTATTTTAGCGTCGGTAAATCCCGTCAGAAATTACGAAATCTAGAGCCGTTGCTAATTAAGTAACAACTTTTAGTCCTACGAGTACAGCATCGTCATTATTGGTCGATACAATTGAATTGAATATTCTCATGACATTGCTACAAACAATCTGAAACTACCTACCTACAATCAATACGTTCCCCGCGCGATGAATATTTCGGATGATAATTCCAATTTATAGATATATATTCGACAATGCCTCATTCGACTCGAGGTCCTTCGCCTGGTCGAATTGCACAAACGAGCTTCAAATTTCCTGGTGATACGAAGGCCAGCTCGCGCACATCCATGGAGAAGTTTCCAGATCTCGATACCTCCGATACCTTCGATCAATATGATGGACAACATCCTCATAACTCACGAAAGTCCAATGGATATCCCAGTGGTCCTCCTCCACTGGATCGTTGGCAGGCACAAAGAAATGGTAGAATGGGAGGGGATTCTTGGACAAACGGAGAATCGAATAATGGCAGAGGACACAGAAAACAAAAGAGTTTGAGTGATGCATTTAAGACAATTAAGTCGAGAAAGGGGAGTATGAGTGCCAATGTACATGAAATTTCGGATGCCTTAAAGGCTCCAGTCTCTCCTAAATTAATTGTTTGTAGACACCTCCCACGCATCGTTAACAAATACTAATTTAATTCGTCCAGGTCTTATGTATAGTATGGTATCTTTCAAGTGCCTTGACAAATACATCTTCGAAATCGATTCTGAATGCTTTCCCGAAACCTGCGACTCTTACTCTCATTCAATTTGCATTTGTCGCATTCTATTGTCTGTTTTTCTCCTGGCTTTCCGCGACTTTTCCACAACTCAAAAAGGCAATTCCAGCTCTACGACATGGAATTCGATATCCCACAAGAGAAGTCATTATGACTACACTACCTTTAGCGGCTTTCCAAATCGGTGGTCATCTTCTATCTTCCACGGCGACAGCTAAAATTCCGGTCTCACTAGTTCACACAATCAAAGGGCTTTCCCCCTTATTCACAGTGGTCGCATATCGACTTATATATAATATTCGTTATCCAGTGGCTACATATCTCTCCCTCGTTCCTCTCACACTCGGTGTCATGCTCGCCTGTTCCGCAGAATTTAGAGGAAATATATTTGGTATAATCTACGCTTTCCTCGCAGCCATAATATTTGTCACCCAAAATATATTCTCCAAAAGGCTCTTCAATGAAGCCGCAATCGCAGAAGCAGCAGGTCAACCGCGTACCAATAAATTAGATAAGCTCAATCTCCTCTGCTACTCGTCGGGGCTCGCTTTCCTTGTTACATCACCTATCTGGTTCTGGTCAGAAGGTATCACTCTCTTAGGTGATTTCTTTCACGATGGATCTCTTGATTTGAGTTCCCACCCCGAAGCCTTCGACCACGGACGTCTAGCCCTCGAATTTGTTTTCAACGGAACATTCCACTTTGGTCAAAACATCATCGCATTCGTTCTCCTTAGCATGGTTTCTCCCGTCACCTATTCTGTTGCCTCTCTCATAAAACGTGTCTTCGTCGTTGTAATCGCTATAATCTGGTTCCAAAACCCTACAACCAAAATTCAAGGTCTGGGCATTGCCCTCACATTCTTCGGTCTCTACCTCTATGACCGGACCAAGGGTTCCAACAAAGCAGACCGCAAAGCCAAAATGTTAAATATTAAAGAAGAATCTCTTCTCCCTCTAAACACAACCTCCGGTAGACTCACACCCGACACTCAAGCCCAAGTCCTCTTTGAATCTCCAATCCAAGCACGAGGTGGAGGATACTCATTGTCGTCTGGAAATTCGGATAACAAGAGATCAGATGACAATTCATTTGACAGAAATGGGAGGCTGAGGGGTAGTAGTAATGCTTCTTGGCTACCGCCTGGAACGAAACAGGAGGATACTTGGAAACCCAGAGAGATTATCGCGAATGGACCTGGGAACGGGAATGGAAATGGAATTTCTGTCAACTAGAGTGTCTGTCATTTGGAGTTTCATAAATAGAGGAGATGGATTTTGATTTTGGTTCTGCTTTTGATTTTTCAGTTATTTTATGCTATTCTAGTTCCTTTACTTGCTAGATAGATACCTACCTACATAGGTACTTATGATATCAACGAAAATGCGCATGCGCAAGCAAGCAAGGCACTCCACGAAGTGTCGGGTATACATATATAGATACCCCAACTGAGGAACGCACGAAATGCACATTAAAGGGAGTAATGGGCGTTAGGACAATAATAGAACATCTTGAATATGGTTTCTAGAGTCGCACTGACTGACTCTGTCAATTGCTTGTTATTATTGATAGAGTGGAGTTTTCGGTTCGGCGCTTGACCTTTTCCTGTAGGCAGTACGAGAAAAGAATAGAATGGGATGGGGTGGGATGGGATGGCGATATGAGGTTTACATAGTGGTTGAATAATTGATATCTAATGCAGATGCAATGCTATGCAATGTGTAGGTGCAGGTGCAGGTGTTGATTTAGAAGGGTAGATCTTTGAATTTGATTGAACTTGATCTTCCAATTGGTTTAAATATGGTGTGAAGTTCGAAAGGGGGTTAAAACTTGAAGTTGAAATCAAGGGGAATATATACACGTGACGGTATTCATGAAGACATTCTTAAGTTAGTATCAATTTTGGTGAGGTCAAGTTTGAGATTGAATCCCCGGTGAGCTCTGAAATTCTCGTTAAAAATCATAGTTCACACAGCAATACGAGTATAGAAACCCATCACACCACCATACAAGTCCACTCTCACGCCAACCATCTTGATATGTTCAAAGCCAAATTATATTTATACAGCCATTCCTTGTATTCGTACTATAATACAACGCGGAAGAAAAGCTAGCAACCTAGTATGTAATCGTGATTCATATGTGTATCCGCATTCAACAATGCTCCGCAAAGAAGCTATCCGATCCTTAAACAATTCATAGAGTTGTGATACCCAAGCCTTCCTATGCCATCCTATTCGTGTGTTCATAATTCGTAGCGCCCTGTCCATCCATCTATCAAATGCATATGAGTCAAGCCCAACCTTTCCCTACCATATCCTGCCATATCCTCATGCACCCTTTGACTCCCCTTGCTTGCCCTCTAACCATAATTAATTGATTAAAAAAATTGCAAACCATGCTCCAATTTCCGTTGCGCCTCAAACTGGATCACCAAGCCACTACCTCCTCTACAAATACATCGAGGTCATCTCCATCCCAGTCATCATCACCTTCAGGCTCACTGTCCAGAAAGTCCGCTTCGCCAAACTGCGTCTCCGCCGGTCTTAAATTATCAATTCTGACATTAACCACCTCACACATTCCTTGAATCACATTTCGCTTTTGTTTCGCCTTTCCCTTGCCCGTACTATTTGCATTCGGATTCATAACCTTACTCTCACCTCCACCATCAATATCCTCATCACTTATATCTTTATCTCCATTTTCATCTCCTAAACTAGGAGTCTGAGGTGGCGAAGAAGGAAATCCATCAATCCCCGCAGTAATTTTTAACAAGCGAATTTCCCGAGAAGCGCGCTGACTTCGGGCAGCCTGGCGGGCTGAAGGAATTGATGTAGGTGGAGGTGGAGGGGTGGATGTTACACCATCATCATCATCTTCTTCTTCCCCCTCCTCTTCATCTTCTTCGTTGTCAATTTCATCATTAGAATTATCGGGACTTTCAGCATAGTTAGTTGTACGTTTAGCGCGTGTGCTGTGGCGGGATGGGAGGGAGTTTCTCTTTGGTCGAGCTCTTTGCTTCTTTGCGGGACGTTGGCTCTGATCGGTATCTTGGGTATCTGTTTCCGATTTGTAAAGTTCAACTCTTGGTAATTGCGAGGCTTTCAAAAAATGCTTTGGGGGATCGCAAACCCTCTTAAAAACTTGTCCCAAAGTGCCGATCCATTTATCTCTAAAAGCAGCCCTATCTCTCCATGCGATATTAATACTTGTCTGCAGAATCAGAATTCGGAGATCCGAAAGCTCGCCTGCACTATCCAACAAGCTTTGAAAGAACATTTCTGCGGCTTGTTTGTCCCATTTGCGTAAATTAAGAAGCTCAAGGGATTGGAGTGTGGTTGGCCATTCAGGAATTTGATCACTCGCGAGTAACTGATCATAATCCGGCTCAGCACTGTGGTATGAGATATGTGCATCGAAATATTGAAGGTCCATTCTTAAAACTTCCAGATATGGACATGCTGCACCAAGTGATGGCAGAAAGGCTAGACTTAAGGCAGAGTTATGATTGAGCGTGAGACAGCGAAGTTGTCTGCCACTAGTCAGGAGATATTCGCCAAGCATTTCAGCAGTGACCTCCCAACAATTAGTGATTTCCAGATTTCGCAAATTTGATGGTAGGAGGGGCATCAATTTCGCATTAAGTAGCGTTGATGATTCAAAAATCAAGTGTTCCAGTACCTCCAGGGCGGAAATCGCTCCACCCAATAATTCTTCAAGTTTTGGATCCTCCTCGCCTTTTTTAGGGTGTCGAATTTGGTAATTGACAAACGCAATCTTCTTTAGTCCGATGAAAGATGGCTTAAGGTGAACCTCGCGAATCTTTTCAATGGGCCACCTCTTACCTGCTAGTCTGGACGACCAACGCCAGCTTCTTAGTTTGCACAGACTGGTTTTGTCTCCTTTGGTAATATCTGCAGCCGGTTCAACATGCTCTAGTGCATCAAAGACCGCAACTGGATATTCCCATCTAATCGATTCGTCAAGTTGTTTGAAAGGCTTCGAATCTTTCTGGTCGTAAAACTCCAGATCCGCCAATCTTGGCAAGTCCTTTATTAAGCCATGCAAATCCAGAAGTCCACTGCCAGGTAAAGAATAGGCAGCAACTTGCCTGACTTCAATACGAAGGTTGACAACTTTTTGCCTGTAGCCAAAAGCCAACATCGCAGGGTCAGATTTGAGTAAATCTACAAGTCTAATCATGCAATTAGCTAGGGAGCTTGCATCCGGATTTTTAAAGTTACTTACCGATGTGCTTTATCCATTGGAACAAGGGGAGGCGAATTGTACAATACTGTAAAGGCTGGCTCGGCGAACCCCCGACAAAGATATGCGACATCTAGTAGCCATCTCCCAGATGGAAGAGGTTGAAAGGTTCTTTCTTCGTACAGTGGATATGTGGCGTACTCGAATATTTGAACTAGGACATGATATGGAAGAGTCTGCCATGGCGGAATATCTTCAGGATTTTCTACGAGCATAGCTGGCGATTGAACTCGGGATCTTTTGTTAGAGGTTGATTTATTCTGCTTTCTTCTCTTCGGCGTTGATTCATGGGAATTGCATTGGCTTCGCTTGGCAGAAGAACGAGAGTGTGAAGCATTTCGAGAGAGTCTTGCGCGGGGCGTATGAGTTGCGCCACTATAGGATGGTTTATTATATTCGTTATCATCTTCCTCCTCTTCCTCCTCCTCCTCCTCCGAATCATGATCAGTCGATGATTCTGCGTATGAGATTACCGGCTTCTGCCGAGTGCTCTTCGTGATAGCTACTTGTGGTTTATTATTCGCAGACCGTGGTTCCCGCACATTTCGGGTGCGTGCCCGAGAGCGTCTCGTAGGTGGCGCATGAGAGATATCACTATGTGATTGTTCGTCGACATCGCCGTTTGCTTCCTCTTCTAGATCGTCATCGCTGGTCGGAGGTTCTGCGTATGAAAAAGCAGGATTTCCTCTGGTAGATCGAGGTGGGGTCCGCAGAGCTCGAGTAGATATCGAAGATCTAGCCATGCCTATAAAACTTAGTTGTTTGCTGGTTGGAACTCATGAAGGTGATGTTGTGAGTTAAAGAAGCTGAAATGGACAATTGCAAAGACAGTATATCTTTATACAGCAGCAGTATGATTCTTTGCTAGTGAGTTTTGAATGCAATTATGTATTGGATTGAAAGTGAAGAATTCTCAAGGTTTTGATGATAAATGGACAAGTATTGAATGGAAGAGCTTTCCTTACTTTTACCAAACCATGAGATGATTCACTTAGATGTTCAATGATGTTGATCTTCTTACCTGTAGACAAGATGACACTAGCGCGATATCGGTTAATCCGATAAGAAATTTAAGGTTGGAGCTAAGAGCACATAACCCCTGTATTTACCTCGGTAACTCCTTCCTTAAGGAGACCTGCATCTCATGCTGCAAGAAATATTCAAATATTGATAAATGGTTCGATGCTGGAATGGGAGCCATTATTCAGCTTGATTGAAGATATGCATGTGGATTTCTGAAATAGAGTATCACCTATTATTACCTTCGTTTCGCAGGTAGATGTGGGTATCTATCAGAAGAGGAAGAGGAAGAGAGGCTCATATTCATTTAGACATATTTGACATATTTGATTCAAAGTATCGACACGACAACACAAGTGACACCCCCCAAAAATATGTATCAATACAATCAAAGAAATAGTTCGACTTCTCCCGCCCTCTTGAGCAACCTCTGAATAATCCTTTACTACCTACCTCTGACACTTTGATAGTGCACGTTGCTTTATATCTTCTACCTAGGTACGTACTCCTTACCTCACACAATCTTCATACCACTTCTTTCGATTAATATTGTACTCAGATACTACAACCACACGCTCTTTACCCACAAGGCTGTTTGTTCTTTTTTTTCTGTTCAATCGTGTAACACTCCTTCCTATTTGTAAGGGGTTTCGAGTTACCCTTACAAAAACACGGCATTACGCGTGCGATATTTTCAAAAAGCTTCATTGTTTTGATACTGTGGATACCCAACCCAAGTACATACCTCCCTACCTAGGAAGTACTCAAATAGTAACTACGAGTCTTGGGAATTCAGCATTGGCTGTTCTGCTGGACCCCCTGTCGGTTAGAATTTGGAATTCACTTCGTCTTACCATTTCTTCTTTCTTTTGAAAGGCGCGTAGTGGCCAGTGAAAGGTTGAACGATAATGAAATGTCACCAGCAGGCATCAATGGAGGAGGAATC